CACACACACACACACACACACACACACACAAGCTTAGAACTTTTGATCAGACACATAATGGGTTTCTCAGTGTATTCTGCTGACTCATCCTAAACCTGGCTGTTTGTAATGGAAAGGACACGGCACAGCAGAGTGGGAGTCAGAAATGGTAAAGTGGCCAGGTGCAATTTTACTCTCCAGGATTTGTCACCCATGTAAGATTTTTTTGGGGACAACAGAGGGAGAACAATCTCGGCACAAAGAACAAAAGCCATATCTAAAGTGTATTCCTGGAAGCAGACAGCCGTGCACCTTTAATCCCGCAACTTTACCACCAGGCTACATACGACTAATACTTCTAATAAAATTACACACCTCATATTGTTTCTGTATAAATGTTAGAGCCTGACCTGCTCCAAGTTAAAGACGGCAGCAGAGATCCTCTGGATACGATCCACCACCTTCTCAGGGTCTGAAAGCCCCTCAGTCCTCATCATTATGTCCTTGTACAGGTTGAGCTGCCACCTCACGGCAGGGTCATCAGACTACGAGTATGTTTAAGAAGAGCAAGTCAGACGCAGAGGAATATACTAAAGCTAGCATCTACTCACAGATATGAACCTCGTTTCGACCTGCTCACCTTTTCACGAAGGTGCAGGTTCTGCCGAATGTGGTCTTTAACTTCATCATCTGTATCTTTCTGTTATTCAACGAGGGAAAGAAAACCTTATGCCTCATATCAAAGCTCTTCAAATCGTTTCACAGTAATTGTTGCTTCTGCCGAGGAGGTTGTGTTTTTGCATGCATGTGTTTCACTCGACAGCTCAAAAAAGTTAGCAGGGGTCATGTTAACAATAAGAATCTACTGTGAAAGTGTGTAAATCACTTATTCGTGTCCAATTATATACAGTATGTGACAGACGGTTTCTCACCATGAGGTAGCGTGTCTTAGCCAGAGAGATGAGCTCCTGATCTCCCGGGGTGCACATGTTAAGACCGATAGGCAGCATCTTCTTCAGGGCGGCTACAATCAGTGAGGTTTGGATGGAGTAGAACTCACCTCGCCGCTTCTTGTGCTTCCTCTCCTGATCTTGTCCCCCAGACTGTGAATTCACAGTGTTAATCTTAGACCACACACACTAGAAAATAAAAGCCAACAGCTCTCCGCATTTAATATGTTTAGTCTTTAAAAGGTGGAGCACACTATTTTCTTTTTGCTGAGACTAATGCTACACCCAAAACAATTCCCCTCTACATTTACACTGATACCTTAACAGTATTTTGTGCCACAGTGGGAGCATTCACACTGTGCTTGAGCAAAAGCCAGAGGCGACTGAAGCGTTTATTTTTTCAGCCTTGGCAAAAATCTGTGACTGGACTAAATCATGGGTGCTACTGAAGCATTAAGAATGGAGTCTCACACCTCAGTTGAAAAGCAGGCTGAGCCAAACTGGAGATGCTGGCTCTGAGAAAACGCTAATCTCTATACTAACATAGATATATAGTCTGACACGCACACGCACAGTGTTATCACACATCGACAAAAATATAAATAGTATGGGCTAAACACACCGGAGGATCACAATCCATCAACAGCAAACACACCACAAGACTTTCTACACACGGGCTGGGCTTCATTACTCTAGATGAGACACGTTTCACCCACACGGCAATGAGGAATGACCAAAGTGTCCACGTCAAACGAGGTGATGAATGGAGGCCACAAATAATTGGGTGACATAATGTATAACTGCACTGCAGACTATATGGCACAGGGGCTCAAGCTATTGGCTTTTCTGCTTGGCGACTAGAGCATGTAAGCCAATAAGCTGGCAGGTAAACAGCTCATGCACTGCATCACTCTACCTTTTCCTTAAAGGACTGTTTGAGACAGAGAGAGAGACAGAGAGGGAAAGACAGATAGAAGAAAAAGGACGAGAGGGCAATTAATGGAAGCGCACGGTCGTCGCGTGGACGTGCACTGCAATGAAAACCATTTGTTTGCCTTTAAACATCTAAAGCAGGCAGACAAGAAATAAAACGCGCTAACCCCTGTAATGCTTACAGGGCCTGAAAATATGAAGAAATATTTGTTTAGTGAGGGATGAATGTTAGTTTCCTCAAGTTATTGCAACAAGCAAGTACATTCATACACATGTGCCTAACACACATACACACACAAGTCCATTTTAACATTCAGTTCTATTCAACTTCAATCAGTTTTTGTTATATGGCACCAAATCACAACAACAATCAGATCCTTGGCACTTGGCGAGGGTGGGGAGGAAAAACTCCCTTTTAACAGGAAGAAACCTCCAGCAGAACCAGGCTCAGGGAGGGGCAGCAGGTTTGGGTCAATATAGTCTTGTTATTGGCAACAAGGTTTTCTGCTGTACTCCTCCCACTTGTGACTTTGAACTGTGTGTTTGCGTATTTACACATGTAGATCCACTGCATGTAACATGTTAACATATGAGCACATGTACGCAAAAATGAATCTGTTAACACGGCTGATGTTAACATGTATCATCCTACTGATCCTATTTACGTCTGCTCTTTTTTACCTGCGTCTCTGAAACACAGACATAATATTTTGTCCTCCGCGCCGTGATTGGTGAACGCACCGCTGAGTAGTAACAGAGCGTTAATCGACTGAACTGTCAATTCAAGAACAAGTGGATAGAGTTTATTGAAACCTACCTTGGACATCTTGGTTTTATTATCTCCAGTCAAGAATGAAAGGTTGTTGATTTCATTCTGGACCACAAAGTTTTGTTCTTCTCTTTTGAAATTCTGAGTGAAAAAAAAGATTATAAATATGTATTATTGGTCATAGAGATTCTCTGACCTTTCTTAGTATAATTCAATTCAATTTTATTTCTATAGCACTAAACCACAACAACAATCTGTCACGATCCTGGGTCTTATGACCCAGTGTTTTGAGTTTTAGTTCATTTTGATGTTTAAAGTGTATGTTTAAGCTTATTAGCTCCCCCTTGTGTTTTCAACTCCCTTGCCCTTCATGTGTTTCAGGGCTGCCCAATCCCAGTCCTCGAGAGCTACTATCCTGCAGCTTTTAGATGCATCCCTACTCCAACACAGCTGAATCAAATGGTTTGATTACCTCTTCAGCATGCCATCGTGTTTGGCAAAGGCCTGATAACAAGCCATTCATTTGATTCAGTGGTGTTGGAGTAGGGATGCATTAAAAGCTGCAGGATAGTAGCTCTCGAGGACCGGGATTGGGCAGCCCTGATGTGTTTCATGTCTGTTGTCTTATGTTGTCATGTCTGCCTCTCATGTTTCCTGTTTTATTTTGAAGAGATCTCGTGTTTTTTATATTATGGATTATGTTTTGAGTCCTTTGTTGTACTGTTTCTTGTTTCCCTAGATTTCAGTTGTGCTTATCATAGGTTTAGTTCTTTGGCTTTGTAATATGGCTTCCCTGTGTTCAATGTTGTGTCTACTGTGACCTCTTTGTACCATGTTTCTGGTCCCTATAGTCTGTCTTCTTTGCATGTTTAGAGTTCAGTCAGTGTGTTTCCTGTTTTACTTTGAAGGTCCATGCCTCATGTGAGTGTTTCTAGTTTTGCGTCTGTCTCGTCCAGCCTGATTACTCCCAGCTGTGCTCCCCTTCTGTGTCTCATTCCCTCGTTATCCCTCTGTGTATTTAGGCTCTGTGTTTCTCTTTGTCAGTGTCGTAGTCTCCCTCATGCTGTGTGTGATGCTCCCCGTGTCTCCTGGTATGCTTTATGATTAGCTTTCCCAGTTTAGTATTGCCTGTGTTCTATTTTTCCAGCAATTAAAGCTGTGCTTTTGAGTTCAAGTTCTGTCCCCGTGAGTTTGCGTTTGGGTCCTCTCCTGCCTGCCACACAGCTGAAACATGACACAATCTCCTCAAGGTGCTTTAAACTGTAAGGTAAAGACCCTAAATAATAGTGATAAAAACCCAACAGCTTGCTGCTTCTGATGTTTTATTTTGAAAATTCTTTTCTTAAATATTTGTACCTGCTTGGTATTTTTTCTAATTTGTATTTAAGGTGAACTGGTGTTCATAATCTCTCTGAGGGGTCCTCCCCATAGGGTTTAATAAAGTTCTATTCTATTCAATGAGACGACCTACTATGAGCAAGCACTTTGGCAACAGTAGGAAGGAAAAACTCCCTTTTAACAGGAAGAAACTTCCAACAGAACCAGGCTCAGAGAGGGGCGGGGCCATTTGCCATGAACGGTTGGGGGTGAGGGGTGGGAGACGGGACAAAAGACACAATATAACATGTAATAAATCAGAACATTTACATGTGACTTGCACCAAAGGATAAATATCTCTGCGACCATCCTGAAGAGGTCGTTGGAGTCTGAATCTGGTTCTTTCAGCCACCTTGACCTGCAGTGGCACAGACAGATGATTACACTTTAAACCAACTTCAAAATGCATCTTTAAAATAACTCCACGAGTTACTGCTCAGCAAGCTGACCTGTTGTTGTCCACATAACGAATGAGCATAGGGTAAAACGCGTACAGGTCCCTGCAGAGTACGGCAAACTCGTCCAGGATGAGCAGCTCGGCCTCCTGAGTGTCTCCTTTACAGTCGGCCTTGAGGAGCTCTTCCTCAGCCACCACTTTCACTGTCTTCTTCTTTAGTTTCTCCAGCGTGGGCAGGAAGTGGCTCTTCAGCAGGTCTGCACGGGCCTTGCTGATGATGGGCTGTACGTACACTGAACGGTGAAAGGCAGAAAAAATTTTATATTTGATTTTTTTTAATGTAAGCTTTGTAGATATGTTTACCACGATCAAATTCAAATTTAGCATGCAAACATCTGCATAGCTAAAAATTATGGTAAATATATTTTCCCGTTTTCTTAATCATTCCTCATGACTCAGTCATTTAGTGTTTAGTGGCAGCATTCACAGATCCACACCTGCAATTCTCTTCATCCACGAGGCCTCATCGATGCCCAGGTTGTTGTTGAGGATCTTGAGGATGTTGCCGAGAATCAGACTGAGGTGCTCCGAGGTGACTGTGGTACAGCAGATGCTTCCTCCGCTGGCCGGCTGGTTTTCAGGACCCCTTTCCCACCAGTAGGACAGATAGTTACACAGCATGGGCAGCACCACCTCAATCACATGGGGCATCTCTGTGTACCGCGCTCCAGACTCTGCCATGTCATTGATGTCCTTCATGAGGCGGTCCAGCCGTGGCATGCCAGGACACATTTCTTCCACTGAGTCTTGTATTCCTAGAGCTAAAACACAACAGGGGCTGATATTTGAAGATTTAATTCACACCAGCACGTTTAGGATTTCTTCTTTCGAACATCAGTAATGAACACCCCACAACATCATCACTATCCATCTGCTGGGCATCATTCACATCAATAAGATGCTTGTTAGACAATAAGAGAAGATGACATAAAAAGAGACAAATAAGGGGTATTTGCAATTTTATAAAATCTTGTGTCGCATGATTATGATAATTAAGGCGATTCATAAATCCTAATGTTTGAGAGCAAAAAGAGGTCATGATGATAAATGCTTGAATTTAGAATCTCTTTTATTTTGAAATAATTACATATGACTCACTGGCTCGTTCTCTGGCGCTCTTCGTATTAAAAACTGAGCAGGGGTTGTACGGGTTGAGCTGCGGCTCTAGGAAGGCAACAGGCAAGGCGCCGGCCAGAGTTGCCAGACACTGACCGAGAGCTGGCAGCTGTCTGAGGGACGCAAAGAGAGTTTAATTAAAGGTCAGCATGTTTCTTTATTGGAGCTTTTATCAGTGAATACAACATTTAACCTTAGGTACCTTTCTACGTAGATGTTTTTCCCAGTGCCCAGAGCATAGAGGCTGGTCAGGATTCGATAGCAGGACACTTGGACGTCATCCACTAGGAAAATAGAACGATTAGAAATCAGCTGGAGGAAGTAAATTTGACATCTGTAAATGAATTTGGATTATCTCACGTCTACGTTTTGCGTGTTCCTGTTCAGTTTCGTGTTCATTTCCCATGTCATCGTTTTCATAGTTAGCTTAACTTTTCCCAGTTTAGGTTTTAGTTTAGTCCCGCCCTTGTTTTGCTTTGCTGTGTGTTTTCTATTTTTGGTTTTCAGCCTAATAAACAACTCGCTTTTCAGTACTCTTCATTTCCTGTTCTCCCAAGTCTGCTTTTGGGTCCACACTGCAAACACGCCGGCTGCACAGCCGTGACAACACCAAGACATGCCAAGTTTTCAGCAATTAGATCTTTGGTGCAAAAAATATAATTTTATGTCTACAAAACTGTGTCTGTTTCTGCATTTTTTGTAGAGTCAGCTAAAAGAAATGCGAAGAAAATGTGTGTGGTAACAAAGTGCCTAAAGATTTGAAATTGGTAAACATTCCTGCAAATGGCCAAGTATAAAGACTGGAGTGATAATAGTGGAAAAACAGCATCCAAGAAAAACGGAAACTATCAAGACAACAAAAAATTCTAAGAATGTCCGACTCCTTAAAAGCAAAATATATAGAAATGCGAGGTGACTTTTGCATAGTACTATATGTTACAAATACTCGCTCCAAGGTTATACACAGCCCGGTTCACATGACTGAGCATGTCTCTGGAGCAGAATGAGTGAAATGTGACCTGAGGTACTAACCAGAGTCAGAGCAAAAAGTACTTCATTACATAAAATTTAAAGTGAAGCTAAACTGATATGATATTCTAATGGACTGTGAAAAACCTCTACAAAGATAAAATCATGAATTACAATAAACTTAACACTGACATTTGACTATTTTTCCTTCCTTTGCAACCTCTCAAACAACACGTTTGATCATTCCTTTGCTGTCAGGACTCACGGAGCAGGTCGACTCCAAAGTGGTGTTGAGTAATGTGTTCAAACAGAGCAGTTAGGATGGGAAGCAGAGCTACGGTGGTGTAGTTGATATTCTGCGACACTCCTTTCATCTGCGAGCGGGAGTGGGTGAACTTCCCCAGCTTCAGGTTCTCGAACGTTTTCTCCAGATCCTCTGCGCCGTTCTCGAAGAACGTCCTCAGCCCCACCCTCACCTGCTCGGAGCCCGACTTCATCACTGTCCTGTTAGGGTGAACGAGAGCGTGATGAACAACTGAAACCGAACGAGGAGAAACACAAGGGGGGACAGATTGGCATGCAAAGGACGACGTTGTTTACCCACGGTGGAGCGCGCTCACAAACGCAATTATTCCACTCTCAGAGCACGTGAAGGCGTTAGTCATGAAATATGAGGTGTGAGTATCGACCCGACTGCCCTCGCACTCAAACGTGAATGATTTATTTAATAAACTAAGGAGAATATTTAAGTCCAAGGTGAGCATGCCTGTTATAGACCTAAGAAAAACGGCACAGCACTCGGTGCATTAAGATGATTAGTGTGTCTGTTTTGAGCATTTCACAGTTCGTAACATTGGCAAATGAATTGCCTATTGTTAAGCTTTAACGTATCCCAGAAGGAAGGAGAAATGAAAGACAGAGTCTGTGGGCATCTTCTGCACAAACAGGGCGCAATATCATGTTGCAAATTTAGCCTCATTATGTGTACGCTGCATTAGGAAACAGTGCACTGCCTCTAAAGAACACTGTGAGCCTTGGGCAACATGTGCTGCATGAAATTTGTGTTGCTTATTTAAATGGCAAAGGAGGCTCTTTGTTAATGCCAGTGCCTCCCATAAGACTCCCGAATTAAAACTGTTTAAAAGACAAATATACGCCTCTCGAGGGCTCAGCAGAGGTTAGATTTGCTTTTCAGTGCCTCTCAAACCAATTATTGTTTAACCACAACTGAGATAACATTTAAAATCTTCTGTTTTTCAGAGTTTAACAGGCAAATATTTACAAAAAATATCATGATGAAACCTTCCTGTGTCGATTATTCAGAGCGAGAGATTTATGTATTTATTTTTTTGTTTGCAAATTGGCTTTTTTGTATCCAAATGTGCTCTAATCTGAATGCATTCCAGGATGTGAATATTCAGTGAAGCTGGGTTCAAAAACGTTTTGGGGTTGTTGTTTTTACATTTGGGAATCTACTTTTCCAGAAATAAAATGTTCTAGCCAGGAGCCAGGAAAAAAAGAGAAAATATCTTTGTCTTTGGGAATAAAATGCTCTACATATCAGGCTTTTAATTAAAGCACAAATAAGGTTTGGAGTATGAGGAAGAAAACATATCAAATCATAACTTTTCAGACATTACTATTGGAAACATGTGCTTAACATGGTCATTATTACTGTTTTATGTGTCTTATAGTCAAAATGAAATGATGCATTTCCCATTAGTCGTAAAAGTGCAATTATGGTATGGAAGTGACTAACAAATGAAAAAAACATAAACTTGGAAATGGCTAAATTGATCTCCTTTAATTTTTAAAGTTAGCACCAAAATTTGCACCAACCTGGTATCGAGTGTGTGTGCCAGGATATGCAGACAGCTGACCATGGTGGTGGAGTCACTCCCTACGAAACACCAAGAACACATAAACCATCATCATGATGTGGATACACGCTCGTTTCTTTCTTGTCTTAGAATGATTCATTCGTCTGTATTGAGCCTCTCAGATTAACACAACATTCAAGAAGCCCTCTTAGCTGGATGTGCAGTCAAAACAATTTCCATTTGATTCGTGTGACAGCAATACAGACTCAAAGCTACTGAATATTGTCTGATTTTGCTTCTTTTAGCTTGTTAAAATGTATCCAGATTCACTTATAGGATAGTAACAAGTATAGCACAGGAGACATTTATCTGATCACTGCACTAGAAGTAGCAAGACACTGGCTGTTGTCCCCAGAGGACAATTTGTCAGATGACAGCTCAGTTTCCAGACTATATCCATTTATAAAATGAATATAATGTTTAACAGAAAGAATTTTTAAGAGGATGAAAATATAAATATAACTAAACATCAAAGACTTAGAATATGCATAATTACTTAAAGAGTTCCAACATAGTGAAATAAAGACTCGCTTTACTCCCACTCTAGAGCCAGCAGCCAATTAGATTTTCTTGCATTTCAAATCCATGTGCCATGTCTGATGCATGGCGCCAGGCAGAGTCTGGCACCAGCAGCTGCTGAAACAGCTCCTCTTCTTGCATATGTTATGGAATTATAGTAACTTTGGGTCAGCACATAAACTAAGTTAGCGACATAGCTAAAAAAAAAAGATGCTGGGCAAAGTCAGGCTGGCTGCTTCTAATATTTATATTGAGCTAAAGTGGTGTCATATTTCATGTTTATAAGTAAAGCATTCAGGTTCTCATGCTACAGTAGCTTTGGGCAAGAACTCTTCCCTTAAGGCCTGACTCTTTCTCTCACATCTGTGTTTACATTTTTAAGCTGAAAATGTTCAAGGTGATGTTAACAAAGCTCATAAGGCAGCACACACACACATACACACACACCTGACCAGATACTAGTAGTCGGCTTACCAAAAAGAGAAATCCTATGTCTGACAAGAGCTGCCAGTTTACAAAAGAGGCTGGAGGCATGAGGAATTAAAGAAATAGCAATGAAATCAGAAAATCAGGGTTAGTAAATGAACAGAGGAGTAGTAATTCAAGTTAAGAGTTCAATTTAATTTCAAGCAGAATATGGCAACAAGAAATGATCATGCAACATGCTGCACTGTTGCATGTACATCAACTAAATGGGTACCTGGTGACCATTTCTTTCTCCTTGTTGGAGGCATAGCCACTGCTGCTTAGATTCTTATTAGGGGAGGACAGGAAGTAGAGAGAGTGGTTCTTAAAGTACTGGTCAATCAGAGGGAGGAGCACCTGAAGGGCAACAAAGACGATGAGAAGCCAGGTCAGGTTAATCGCATCATGTTTGAACCAGCTCTCCACATGCAGTATTTGTGCCGCTTTCTTACTTTGGCAAAAAACTTGATTTCTTGCTCATGAGGTGACCTGTCTGTCTTGCCACTGACAGCCATGGCTTCTGGATTGAGAATATTTATTTAAAAAGAAGCTTATTTGATGTAATTGAAGTCTGCTTTAGTCATATCTTGTGTATTATTATTAGTATTATTTTTGTCATACCTAAGTGGGTAATGAATTCCTGGGCTGAGTCAACATATTTGAGCAGCTTCTTGAGGAATTTGTAGGCAAACCTTTTCTCCATGGAGGAGGAATCCTGCTCCAAGTCCTTCAGACCTCTGCAACATAAGAAGATGTCTATAAATGAAATGTTGGTAAAACCTTGGTGATGGATTCCACGGCTAGTTATAAATTCATTCAAACTTTCAACATCAGAGAGAGCTTCTGTTTGTATTGACCTTGTGATGCTATATCCATTGATTAGCAGGAAGCGAAAAAGGTCCTGAGCCTTCTCTCGATCGCGGGCCTTCTCCTTGGCCGTCAGCGTGTCGTAGGGCACCAACAGAGGATGTGTTCCCCCTCCTGAAACCACAAGCAGCTTATTGTTCAGACACGATTAGCCACGTCTCTCTCCGCTGAGCGTCTCCGTGAAGGCAGATGGCGAACCGGAGAGCACCACTCGGCTGAATCGAGTTAGTCAAGACCGGCGAGGCAGACACGTGCATATGCTCCCAAACACATTTAAATGCAACAACCAGCACTTTAATTCCACCCACCCAACACACACACATACTCTTCCGGTCTGCTTTTCATGCGTCTTTAAGCAGTACGCATTTCTGTTCGACTTCATTAGCAAATCACCTCGACTTCCAAGGTCACTTTTCTTCTTCTTGGCCCAGATGTTATGGTAATTTTCAGCCACCACCTCCACCATCCCCTTGAAAACAAGACAAAAAGAAGTGAGACGCACATCCCGCCCACATTACTCATTTGCATGCAGGAAGGATTGCTTTTGATCTCGCATTCAGATTGAGGCGTCCTTTGATACATGAAAAAGGGAAGAAGTGCAACAAATCAAACGCGGGGTCACTCACTTGCAGCTCTCTGGATAGAACCACGTTGCTTGTGTCTATTGGGCTCGGATTGAAGCCGTTAGCCTGAAAACACATGTAAGTTTGCGGTGAGAGTCTGAGCTTGATTGTGCTGTTATCTGTGAATCGAACGTTGGATAACAGAAGACTTAATAGCCTGTGTTTAAGGATTATTTTGTGTATTTGGGCTCATTGAAGGAGGTGATTAGTAACATTAGTACTGTGCTGTTGGTGGTCCTGTACGAAAACTAGAAATGTAAAGTAAATACAGCTAACATTGCTAAGTTTATTTACAAGTTAAAAAAAAAGATCACGCTTCTGAAATGTAAATAAATTCTTGTTTAGAATTCATACGAGGTAACAGTATAATTAACTGATTTGAACCTATGAAGCTGAAAAACAGCACAGTAACACTACCAGGTAGAAGTCCAGCATTCAAAGTTCTGTTAGGATCGCAGGGATTCTGCATTTGTGCCTTTAACCTGCTTAAATGTGCATGTGGCATATATTCATGCGTTAACGATTCATTCATTCACGTTCATCTATGAAATTCTGGACTAAGAGGCCCAAAGCATGCCACGAAAATATCTCCTACAGCAACAGCACCGACCTGAACCGTCCATATAAGATCATGCTGTAGAATCCATGCTTTAAATTATTTATACCATCATCTGAATGAGCAGAAACTGAGACTCATATAATCAGACAACATCTTTCCAATCTTCTGTTCTTCACATTTAGTTAGCTTGGGTGAACTGTAGCCTCTCTTTCCTGTTAGCTGACAGGAGTGGTACCTGGTGCGGTCTTCTGCTGCTGTAACCCATCTTTTTTATGGTTCAACAAGTTCGGACATGCTCTTCTGCATATGTTGCTGTCGTTGTAACGAGTGCTTATTTGAGTCACTGCTGCCTGCCAACTAAAAGCAGTCTGCCAGATTTCTCTAGCATCACAGAGGCCCAGATAACTGCTGCTCACCGGATACTCTGCCTTTTTAGGACCATTCTTTGTAAACCATAGAGATGGTTCCTATCCCAGTAGATGCCAGTAAAATCCCAGTAGATCAGCAGTTTCTGAAATACTCGGACCAGACTGTCTGGCAAGTCACTTAAATCCACTTTGAACTTCAGCAGGTCGTCATGACAATGTGTACAAGCCTAAATTCATTCAGCTAAAAAGTAGCTGTTGAGTGTTTTGACTGTAAGGAATCACATACATCTATACTACTTCTCTGACAATCGTAGTCAAGTCAAGCAAGATTTCCTCAACAGGAAAGCAAATTAGCAACTACAGCTGTGCTGGAGACCAGCAATTTTTCACCGTACAATCTTTGGAAACACTTTCCATCCCTGCATCGTACCTGTGAGGCCTGAGATATCTTTCTCATTTTCTCAGTCTCCCTCTGTTGAGACATGCTCTCTCCATCTTTGGTCCTATCGATACTCCACCCCATTGCCAGCATACTCTTCAGGGACTCTCTAATAGGCCATCTGTAAATATCCTTCTCCTGAAGCAGAGAGACAGAAATGGAGAACAAATAAAAAATCCTCATGAGCCTTAAAAGCCCTAATCTCTTTAAAGTTAATATTATTTACAAATATCATATTCTTCATACTGTACCTTCTCCGTCAGGCCTTTGTAGGTCCTCAGCTGAGGATGAGTCTTCGCCTTCTCATCAACACAGTCTCCATATTTCCACCCCAGCAGCACCTGAGGCGCAAGCAGAGAGTGACAGCAACCTGATTGCCTTCAGAGTCTCCCGAGGACAAGATTTACTATTTGACAGACTGAGTACGAGATTAAGTACACATCATATTTTTGTCGTGTCATGGTTGTTGCTGCTCTCAGCTTTTGTTAAAAACTTTAACGAATGAGACAATGCAGGCTAAGCAGCTGGCACAAGAGAGAGCATTAGCTCTCTACTATGGCTCTACCAAAGTTATTGTCAGCATGCCAGAGCAATCCCTCAACTCTAACAAAGAAGGAGGCATCGCCAAGGGGGAAGCATTACTGTGACACAGGAGAAAGAAAAGAAAATATCATGATAGCCATCCATCCACTTTTTTCCCACTTATCAGCTTAAGACAGCTGGGCTAGGCTCCACCTACCGCTTCCAGGGACCCTGATTGGATACGCTGATATCATGATGTACAGCACTGACTTATTTTTGTTACTTTTATTCACATTCATGTAGCTGAAATCCACCTCCACTGATTATCATCCTCCGCAGTGCCCTGCTCTTTTCTCATAACACCAGTGGCCTGCTCTAAAACTGCATCATTTAATAGCCATTTGACTCGGCCAAGGCTCTTACCTTCTCTGCAGACCATTTCTCATGGGTATGCTCGGCGTACTTGTTGGCAAAATGCTCAAGTTTCTCTGGAAGAGCGATGCTAGAATAAAAAGCTGACAGTTAGTCGCAAGTATGTGCAAAATGCATGTTAATGAAATTACGCAGAGTGTGTGGCTGCATCTTTTTGTGTGCATTGGTTTCTAATTGGTGTCTGGCTTCAGAATGGCTTACTTAGCCGTATTGATTGGTTTGGGGTCAAAGTTGCCCTGAGCATCCACAGAAACAGGCTTTTCCACAGTGGTACTAATGGAGGCATCCACATAGTCTGGCGGCAAAGCTCCAGCTATGGCACTGAGACAAGGCATGGCCATCTTGAACAGCTCGGGGTCGTACTTCTGCATGAGGAAAGAAGGAAAGCAACAGGACTGAATGTGAAATTGCATCTCCTCCTATAGAGCTCTGCAAATAAAAATGTTACTTAACAAATGCAAGTAATGTCTTCCACTGCTAATTTAAGCTGAACTTGAATAAAGTCGTATAGCCACTCCAGTCTTAAAGAAAGAGCAAGAGGCAAGCGGAAGAAACGTTAATGAAGAATTATTCTTAAAAGCTGAGGGACCAGCGTGCTCGGGGCTTTGGATCAATGACGGCTGTCCAGATATTGATGTTTTCAGACCGGCGCTTTGCAAAGCCTCCTTTCGTGAGTGGGCATTTAGAGAGATGTGCTGAGTCCAGCCATCTGCATTGCTAATAGACCTAAACCTATTTATACCCAAGTAGTGCCTCGAATACATACATGTTAATCAAGACTGCATGAATTATGGGATTTTTATTGAACGGTTTATCGTGTTTTTAGAGCATTTGGACTTTCCCTCACCCTCTGAGACAAAGAGTCAAACACTCCCCAGAAGATCTTCTTGGTAAGCAGTAGTTCATCTTCAGAGGCTGTTCCAAAGCTGCCCCAGCCTGAAGGGAGGCAGTAGTACTTCCAGTTTTGCTCGTAGTGGTTAGTTAGCAGCTAGAGGGCACAGGAAAGACACACATGCTTAGCGAGTTCAAAGACAGGTAATAAGCATGCACACTGCCACACATGGCACCGCACAGGGGAATCACTTCTTCCAAAATCAGCACAACTTAAAGTAAGAAACACTTTTGGGGGCCAGCCGCAATCGATTACATCTCCAGGGTTTCTTTGCTGTGGCCTGAGAGACAGAGTCGAGACGTAGAGCCAACAAGCCCGTAATCACAGTCCACTACTTCACCCCCTTGTTTTGTTTTTTCCCCTCCTATAGCTCCCCACTTTGATTAACACTTCTTACAGGTGCGTTACAGCTGTGGCACCTTGGGAGGGTTTATGTGAGCGTGAAAGAGAGCGAGAGGGGCGAATGCAGGCACCATTACATTGATTAGAGTTAGTGGAAATGAGCTGTTGGTAGCTCCCCACCAAGCTGAAAATCTAATAAACGTATGAGAGCAAAGCGTGACCATGCAGCGACCACATGGACCACACAAAAAGAGCATGTAGAAACGAAAGGGAGAACTTAAAATAAAGGAGAAGATGGCGATTAAGAAGTAATTAATAATTAGGACGACGGGAAGCAGCGAAAACAAAAACACGAGGGCAGGGTGACAGAGGATCTGAAATAAAGGATGACGGAGGAATTTAAATGAATGAAAGAGCGAAGAAACTGTTGCCCACCCTTAGAGGCATCTTGCAGTAATCAGTCAACAAGGGCACATCAAAGACGAGGCGGCGCAGGAGCTGCTGCAGCATGGAGGGACGAAGGTGCCTGCGGGATAGGGCGGGAGAGAGATAAGACCTCTGCTGCACTCGGGCTGCCTTTAAACATCTTCAGACTTTGACCAATTTTGCGCGTCACACTGACTCAAAAAGATGGTGAAGATAAGTTGTTAGTCTTTACTACTTCTGGAAAAGTGTTTTTTAACTCTTTCGCTTCTTACTTGCAAACAGACAGCAAACACTCCTCTATCGCATCTCTCTGCGCCTTGGTCAGCGATCGGCCTTTGGACAGGCGGTAGATGGTGTGCAAGGTGGAGTCTATGAGGGTGGCGTAGTGCTCGGTGCCAGCGAAGAGAGGGGCGCAGCGGGTGAGGAGGGGCAGCATGGCTGAACCGATGTAGCGGTTCATAGCCAGGGCTGTCTCGGTGGTACACAGACCCTCCTGTAGGGGGAAAAGGTCACACAACATGTCAAAACTCAGATATACAGTGATTAAAACTTTAAGTAGGCAATTTGAAAGAAGCAACATATGGATGTGTTCCAGCTATTTGTTTTAATCTATAAGCGTACTGTTGATTAATAAGAATAAAGAGCAATGACATTAATCAAACAAATTTAAAGCAGAGCTTTGGCTTAATGAGCTGCTTCTTATTGCTATAAAAGAGAGCCTGATATTATCGATCCAGAAACTCCTTGAAGTTCGTGTTACGGTGGCTGGCTACTCATTACTTTTCTCCTACGCTGCTATCAGCTGCGCCTACCGTGTCCAGAGAAGTAGCAGCCCTCAGGTCAGGGAGGAAGCCAACTTCAAGCAGGTGAAGCAGAAAGCTCTGGGCTTCCACGCCATACACTCTGTCTAAAAACAGCACCATGGGGGCCTTGTGGTCCGGACAGAAGCTCGCCGACATGTCCGGCTCCGTCACTGACCCATCTAGGAGTTTGAAGCAGACATAACAAAGACGAGTTTTGTGATCCACGCAAGCATGAAGCAGTGAAATACCCAGGGAACAGCCTGCACTTCATAATGGAAAGTCTTTTCTAATTAGGAGAGCCATGCGTATTCATTAGGCCGCACGCACGCAGCAGTTTTTCTGGACCCTTGACTCGTTGTCTTGGTTCTTGGCCTGCTGACAAAGCTTGTGTGGCAATGCTCACAGCAGCAAATTTAAGAGGCGAGTCTTGCCATGCTTAAGCAGATCAATCAATAGAGCAAGACAGCCCGCTATAGAAATGATCTGGCTCACTCAGAGCCACGGCAGCGTGCGGTAAAGCATCGCGCTGATTAAAAAGGCATGAGCAGTGAAATCGATAACTTTCCACCTTGCACTGAACGTGCATAGTTTGGGAATCGCTGTGTGACATGCTGTAACATGCAACATGCACATGCTCACACGTCACGTTGTTAGCCAGTACCTTTGTTAGTAATGGGCATTTTGAGCGGTATGCTAATGATTCCCACGAGGTCCTCAGTAGGCACCAGAGAGCGCAGGATAGCACGAATGCGCAGAGCTTCGCCTTTCCCTTTGTTGATGAGCTTTAGGCGGGAAAAGCAAGTGAATCAGAGGAAAATACAACAAAACAATTCCATGAAAAACAACCTGTGACACTTTCTAAGAAACTTACATGCATCTCAGGGGCACACCGTCCTAACAGGTCGATGAGAGCAGAGTAGAACGACATGATGGCATTGCCCATGTGGACCACCTCCTCTTCATCGTCACCATCACCAGACCTAACAGTGGGAAAAGAGCAGAAACATTTAAGGGCATTGAAGCAAAGACACAAATCAACAGGGGCTGGTTAAAGCAGTTAATCTGAAGGCTAAGGCCTTGGCATTGATTTTATAAGATTTGCTTGATTTTTATGGCTTACACATCAGAGCTAACTCCCTGGACGGAGCCTGGGAGGTCCAAAGCGGGCGTCTCAGAGATCTTAATAGCTTCCTTCATGGCAGCCAGGAGACCGTTCCCTCCCTCTCCTCTCAGAGCAGGTCCGAAACACTCCGGACGACGGATCAGCAGCTTCACCACAACGCTCGAGTTCTCCTCCACACTCTCGCCTGCAACACGAACATATATGGATACGTGCAAGAATAGAGATGCTCGCCATTCAGCATGAGTAGACAACATCTGAGTAGACTTCGCCTTAAGCAAGTGACGGCAGTTCTGTTGAATCTCTGCTACGTTTCTCTGTGCGTTTAAAGAGAGGAGCGGCACAAGAATAAACAGACAGAACAAGTGAGAGATGAAATCAGGGAGAAACCAATAAATGCAGACATACCGTTCACAAAGACAGCAAACCGCAAGAAGGACAGATAGCGCTCTCCCTCAATGGGGTTCCAGCCGATGTCTGGATAACCTTTAGCCAGAAGCATTGGACAACTCTGAAGACCACAGCCAGCCAAGTAGGTGACCACCTAAAGATACATTACACACATCATGTAGCTCAAATAATCTGTGCATTCCCTCCCTGGTGGTCTTACCGTAGGTATCTCTTTCTTAATATGCATGTATAGGTCCTCAAGTCCAAACTGTCTTTCTCTCTGAATCAAGCAGGAAGAGTACACAGTGACTTAAACTCACCTTGTCCAGGTCAGGTTCTTCAAGTGCCAGAGCCAGCCCGTTATTGTCCATCACTGAGGAAGCAGCCACATCTAGCGGAGTGGAGCCCCTCATAGCTGGCGAAGCTGCAACACAATCCACCCACACAGGCTCAGATAGTTAGTGTCATTTTTGTTGTGTCTTACTGTTCAGACAGCTACCCTGTGCCCACGTGTGCTTTTTAAAATAATGTGTAAACAGCAGGGGGTGCTATTTCCACTTTGTAAAATGTAACAGGAAGCTAACCTGCCTTAGTTTTAGGGTTCTTACCAGTTTGCACTGAACAATTCAGTCATATTAGGACATAACATAGCACTGTACATTATTTATATCACAGCTTGTTTGATTTCACAAGAGTTGTTTCATTTTTAGCTTTTTCCCCCGTAGTACTAAATAACCTGCTGTAACCTATGAGCAATAAGTGAAGTCGTTCATGCGCACAAACACACACACACAGACACACACATAAGTTCAATGAGTTGTTAGTTCATACAGCTCAGCTTTCACATATCCTCTGGCTGAAATGAAAGAGATCTTTGGCTCCTTTCAGAGAATTCGACAGCCACGTAGCTACTTTAAGCTGTTCCCTTATTCACAAGGGGGTCGCCACAGTGGTCAGGTCAGCTTGTTTCTGATTGGCAGATTGTTTTCTTATATTCTTCCTGATGCAACTAGGAAGGGATGTGTGTCTCCTCCTGGTATTTGCCAAAAAGCGATTGCGGGAATTTAAACTGGCATAAGTCACTTGATAAAGAATATAAATAATTGATATTAAGTTATTTTGAGCCAGAAAGAATATTCCTGTCAGAAGCTGCAAACGGTTTTTGGCTGAGTGACTGTTATCTATACAGTTATCATTTTTCTATCAGAAAAATGTAACAAATATGACATCCCAGTTTTATAAATATACTTTAAGTGACCAAAAAGGACAACATTGATTATAATGTGGGAACCATAATGTAGAGTCATAAAGTCATACATCACGTAATACTCACATATTAGATTAGATTTTATATATGACCCCTTCATTAATCCGGTTCACTAGTGTATTTACCAATATAAATAAAGTTAATCGATATTTAAAAAGCACAGAAATGTCAGAAATGACTTTTTGCCACAACACTGGGACCAAACCGGAGGATTTTTCACTTGTTACACGAATGTGTAAACCACTACACTCCTGTTCTAAACATGGCTGTACCCACCTAGGCCCACGCTGCTGTTCTCCAGTAGGTAACTGAGGTGGTCAAACATGGCCTTCTGATTCTGACGGCTGATCCGGCAGAAGTAGCACAGGAAGCGACAACAGCTGGCCACCATCTTGGGAAAGGCAATTTCCTGAAGGGTAGGATAAAACAGAGCCTAAGAGGCTCAAATGCCTTCACTTGGATATTAATAAGAGTAAACTGCATCTTTTAAAGTTTTGAAACGACTGCAGGCAGCAGCCATGCTTTTAGGAGTGGACTTGACTACTTTTATCCCTGGATACAAAAGTGTCCCTCGAAAAGCAGCTGATCATAAGTGGTTTTGGAGAAACTGTTGCTTCACTCTGGGGAACTGAGTTTACAGTAATGACTTCCTTCATGCGTGTTACTCTAAATTCCCCCTGCATGTCTCGGCTTCTAATTGATGCGTAAAAGGCCTGACATCGTCACACGCTGCCAGCAAGCCAGCCCGATTCAGTCTGCCCTTTCTGCCCTTCTGCGTAGTCAGGACCACGTCCTCATTAATGCAAACCTGCTCTGCGACCATGTTTTACACACAAAGGAAAGCATGCAAGACTGGATTAAAACACAGTTTCTGCTGAGATGGTGCTACAGACTCCATGTGGGTAAAGCAGAAGATGTTAAACCTGGGACTTGTCTCCTCCGAGGACATTGACCATGACCTCCATGACAGTCTCGTGCATGCCCAGTATTCTCATCAGGTTCGGGTGCTGGTAGAAGACCTTGTTGTTCATAATGTCACTAAAAAGCACATGAAAAGAAGCAAACTTTGAATATTTAGGTGTTTGCTGAAAGAAAAAAAAAACAGTTTTTCTATCTAAATCAGTTCCATACGAGTCGAATGACCTACCCCAGTCCATCAATCATGAGCTTTTCCTCCTCCTTTCCCATTCGAACTGACAGCAGAGACCTGATCTGACCCAGGGAGGCCAAGAGGTTGATGGTGTCCTGGACCGAGGCAGCGCTGATGGTGTACGTCTTCCTCATGGCTCGGAGGAGCTCTCCAACGCTGTCGTACTGCCTCCTCAGCAGGCTGAACATTTTGCGAACAAGTTCAGGGTCCTGGATGTGACACTCCTGGGACCAGCTGACCATGGTCTGAGAGATAAGCTCTTTCAGATTGGCTGGAAATAAACATGAGCAAAGACGACTCAGTTTCCTTTTATTAAACAAGCTGATTGCCTCGTATTAAACAGCAAAGCAGAGAAAGGCTCGCCGTGGCAGAAGCGCTCGCTGTATCGTTTCGAAATCCTTACTGTACATCACGGGCCTTGAAAGGAACATTGACTTTGACCCTCTTCCCATTAGCTGGGGTCACAACAAGAGGCACTTAACATACAGTAGGCACACATTAATGCACAAATTCCCTCCATTAACCTGCCTACTTGACAGCGTGCTTTCTTTTTCACCACTGACGCTTGAATATTGAATAAAAGAACTTGCTCCATGTGGCAAATAAGACCTTAAGAACAGAAAGAAGAAAGAAAAAAGACGGCAACATCGAAGTCTTCACGTGGCTTTAAAAAACAACAACAAAAAACTGGATGCTTGTGTCACATGACTAATCTTTGAAAAATATTAGTTTATGCCAAAGCCACACTTTCAGTGGGGCAGAAAGATCCACTGTTATGTAAAGAATAAAGAAGGAAACATATGGTTTTAATAGTTCTTTGCGGTTAAAAGGAAACATTTGTTTGGACAGCTCATATGTGGGTTACTCTTAAGGCTTCATTAAAACTGGATCAATAGAGTGTGTGGGTTTGTTTTTTTATGGTTATGAACACACAAAGGATGGAAAAAAACATCAATTAAACAGTCCGGTACCATAAACGATGGAGTCATTAACACACAATTGATTTCCTTAACAGTACTGCAATTAGGTGATTGCGTTTTTAAGACCACGTGTCTGTTTGGTTGATTGGTTCTCTTGGTTTTCAAAAGACTGTTTGACAGCAGACTGTCAGTCAGTGCACGGGTGTGCGTCTGTGGTTTTTTGTGAGATGGGCAGGAAGCCAGCAGGATGGCACCAGTAACAGATCCTGCTGCCGAGAGCTGCGTGGGTGTCAGAGAAAGGGCAGATGCACAAGCTCGAGATTAAGCAGCGACATTTTTTTTCCTCTCTCAGCAAGCACCTGACTCGCACTCTGTCACTCTAACACAGTCACTGCCTGCTTTGCTGTTAAATATACTGCTCTCCCACTTTCTCCCTTACTACGCCCCAGTAAAGAAAGCTGGACTATCCAGAGTCACAGTGACGGAAACACACACACAGATCTCCTCATCTCTGACCATTAAATGCTCCTACTGGATAAACTAAACCAAACAGCTTCTGTGCTCCTTTTACTTCATTCTTATGACATAAAGGAGAGAAAGAGAGATGACGTGATGAAGAGCAGTTACAGCCTGAATCGCAGCACCAAAATTTAATAGGTGTCTTCTTCACTTGGTGTCCTACTACTTCCTTGGAGCCTAAACCCACTTAAAAGGAAACCAACAAATGACAAACCGTAGACACTAAAGCACACTAAACCGTTTTTGCGCCACGGACCGGTTTATGTCCGACAATATTTTCACAGAGTGGCCTTTAAGGTGTCGCGGATAAATACAACAAAATAAAACCAGTACTGGTACCAAAAAAAAAGAAGATTTATTCATAACACACGGGTAAAGACCCCGGGAAACCGAGTTAATGTTAAAAACCGATAAATTTCACACCCGAGCCTCAACTGTCGCGGCCCGGTACCAAATGACTCATGGACCGGTAACGGTCCAGGGGTTGGGGACTGCTGCACTAAAGCATATATCTAGTTTTGAACGTTATCTACAATCCCAGACACATAATATACACAACAACATTAAAACCACTTACAGGTGAGGTGAATAAAAAGTATCAGTCAACTACAGATTGTTTTAAACACATCACACAAGCATCCATGGTCATTTAAATCCCCAGTGGATGTCACAAAATAGCCCAAGAGGTCCCGTGGAAATGCAGCTGATCATCTGGAAGGTTATTGTGGCTTATCAGTGTATGATAAAAGGACAGAACAAAGCACGAGCCAGCTCAGTTTTGTATTAACTGCACGAAGAGGGACGATAACAGGGATGAGGACAACGGTCAGTTGGTCCAAAACTTTGGTCCACACTAAAATCATTCAGCAACGACATGCACTCTACTGAAATCTGCCATCAGTGGATCGAATCTTTTCTTGTTGTGCCATTTAAATATCCTAACATCTAGGAAAACCGTGCTTGGTATACCATTTAAGAGATCTATCATATTTGTATATGTGATTTGTCTGTGGCACTTTCATGATGAGTAAATAACCTTAAACCACTAGTTTCAAGACATTTTGAACACAGGATGATTATTTGGGCAGGTTACAGTATGGTCACCATTAGAGAGGTGAAGTAGGGAAGCTTTAGGGCTGGCCTAAACAACATTTTTTTAAAGGAGTTCAGTGACTTTTTATCCTCGACTTCGAAGCTGTCCAGACTGGTTATAGTCGGGGATTTTAATATACACGTTGATGATGACTCTGACCTCTTTGCCAGAGGTTTCCTTAGCGTCATGGATTCTTTTCATTTTACTCAGCATGTGTCTGGTCCCACACACACCAAAGGACACACTGGACCTTGTTTTTACTTTAGGTTTAAACATTGATTTTATTTGTACTGAGGACATTTTTATTTCGGATCATCATTGTATTCTTTTTAATCTGTCTTTTCATTTGTCCTTCTCTCCTATTCGACACGTGGTTAGCTCTCGCATCTTAACTTCCTCTAGTGCTGTTAAATTTTCCGATGCTTTTAATTTAGTTTTATCTCCCTATAATGATGTTCATTTTTTAACAAATCTTTTTAATAATCATTGTCTTTGTATTTTAGACAATGTTTGTCCTGTCAAAGTTAGACTAGCTCCGGTTTCAAAGTCGTCTCCCTGGTTAAATGACAGCATTCGCTTCTTAAAGCGTTGCTGCCGTAAGGTTGAGCGTTTATGGAGGAAAACGCGTTTGCATGTCCATCTCCTTCATCTAAAGGACCTTTTAGTCTCTTTTAACACTTCAGTTCGAGATGCGAGGGCGGCCTATTTCTCAGACTTAGTGTCTAAGAGCAGAGGTAACCCTAAGGTACTACTCGACACCATCAGTGATATTGTTGCTCCTGCTCCACCTGCTGTCCCAATTTCATCAAATGAAGATTGTGAAAAATGTCTTTCTTTCTTCGTTGAAAAAGTCAGTAACGTGAGGAACAGTATCTCTCCTTCTGTGTCTCTCTTGTCTGCTCCAACTCAAGCTAGGCCTGTAATTTTAGAAAGATTTTTACCTGTGTCTTACCTGAGCTGGTCAAGTTGGTTAATTCAATGAAAGCTCCTCCTGCTCTCTTGATATTTTACCTGGATCTTTGTTTAAAAATGTCTTTCAGTCTATTGGTCCCTGTGTGCTCACAATTATTAATACCTCACTGGTTTCTGGTCAGGTCCCTGTTTATTGTAAGAATGCTGTTATTCACCCACTGTTAAAAAAACCTAAGCTTGATGCTTCTCTTCTCAGTAGCTACAGACCGATTTCAAAATTACCGTTCATTTCTAAGATTTTAGAAAAGGTTGTGGCTAAGCAGCTTATAGCTGTTCTAGATGAATACAGCATTCTGGATAAATTCCAATCTGGCTTTCGTAGAGCTCACTCTACTGAAACTACACTTCTTAGAGTCTCCAACGACATTTTAATGAGATGTGATGCAGGAGAATGCTCCGTTCTGTTGATGTTGGACCTGACCTCCGCCTTTGATACTGTGGACCATCATATTCTGCTAGATAGGCTGAGAGACTGGGTGGGTATATCAGGGGCTGCTTTGGACTGGTTTGAATCCTATTTGCATGAACGATCCTTTTCTGTGGCTACCTCTAAGTACAGTTCCTCTTCTACTTTTCTTGCCTATGGTGTGCCACAAGGTTCAGTTTTGGGGCCTTTATTGTTCTTACTGTATTTACTTCCTCTTCAACACTTATTGAGCACTTTTAAGGACATTTCGTATCACTGCTATGCAGATGATATTCAGGTATATATCTCCTTTAAGCCCCATGATGTTTCCAAGCTACAGATTTTGCACAAGTGCATAGACTCCATTAGATGTTGGATGGCTGGAAACTTTCTTCAACTAAATGAGGAGAAGACTGAAGTTCTTGTTTGTGCTCCTAAAACTTTTGTACCTAGTGTTATGGAAAACTTGGGTCCACTTGCTACATTTGCAAAACCGTCTATCAGGAGCCTTGGTGTTAGTATTGACTCAGCTCTGACTTTGGATGCCCATGTAAAATCTTTGGTTCGCTCCTGTTTTTATCATTTGAGAAACATTGCTAAGCTGAGTCCCATTGTATCGCGCTCCGAATTAGAAATTGTCATTCATGCATTTGTTTCATCTCGTCTGGACTACTGTAATTCTTTGTTTACTTGTTTATGTAAAGCCTCTTTGGACTCTGCAAGTTGTTCAGAACGCTGCTGCAAAGCTTCTGACCAAGTCCTCCAAGTTCTCCCATGTCACACCCCTGCTGATTCAGCTGCACTGGCTCCCCGTTAAATTCAGGATCCAGTTTAAGGTTTTGACCTTGACTTTCAGGGCCCTGCATGGACAAGCACCAACATATATAAGTGAACTTTTGCATCCATACATTCCCAGCAGGTCCCTGAGGTCATGTGACCAGGGCTTGCTTGCTGTCCAGCACACGAGGCTGAAAACAAAAGGCGACAAAGCTTTTGGAACTGTGGCCCCCAGATTGTGGAACTCTCTCCCTTTGAGCCTGAGATCTGTGGACTCAGTGGTCGCTTTTAAAAAAACAGCTAAAAACCCATCTTTTTAAACTTGCTTTTAGTTGATTTTTATTTTTAGGTTTTAGCTTCTGTGAAGCACTTTGTGATTTTTATCTTGAAAGGTGCTGTATAAATAAAGTTTTACTTACTTTACTTTACTTACTTTAGGGCTGGCCTAAGTGTGCAATTTGTCTTTAAGCACAAAATATCTGACTCTAAACAGAACTTTGCCCAGTTAAATAGGAACTTGTGGTCACTCACATTCAGTGGTGGTCCCTGATCCCTGAGAGAGGCAATTAGACACATCTCGCAGTTGCACTCTTGCGGCACACCCGTTATTTGGACCTGCTACTGAAACGTTTGTGTTGCTATGTTTGTGCTCGATCTCATGCAGTCTGCACGTGTCTGTGAGTTTAATCAGGTTAAGCATTGAGTTTTATCGCTGACGATTTTGGATTTTTTTCCCTTTCGTTTCCCCGCTCTCATCTCCCGGAGCGGCTGACACAGGATCCTCTTCACTCTGAAGCCTCTCTGCTCCACCAGGCTGCATATTTCCATAATGAAATTGAAGGGAAATTGAAATGGAAATGACTGCTACCCAGTGATTCAGTCCACGTGGCAGCGGCAGACAAATAAAGGCAAGACTGAGGGCGCTAGAAGTGCAATACAGAAACATCTCCTGTTAATTCTGCCCTCTCTTTTGTGCCAGGAACACAAAGAGAGACACAGAGGTTGTACAGAAAGAGGTGAACAAGGCCATGAATGAGCAAAATGTAGCAGGGACTAAATGTACAAGGCGTGAGCTCAGCACTTGTGCTTTTATGGGAAAACAACAACAACAAACCAAACCAGTTCCATGTCTCGCTCAAGGACACCTTTTTTTCTTGTTGTTGGACAGCTTGACTATGAAGTAACACATCCTAAGAGTAAACTGCTTCCACTTGTGATTTGGTATGCTCCTGCAGTCATATTCCTCAAATTTGTTGTTCCCCTGCTCACTAATTAACTTTTAATCCGCATCATCGTGAGCTCTTAACCAGGTTCAGGTGTAACGATACAGTAGGCACAGCTCCATCATTCATGCAGCGCAATGAAAGCAGTGATTTCCTCACAGGGTGCAGCTTGCGCCATCCTCGTGGGCTCCTCTGCTTTGTGCGCCTGGCCTTTGATCCTGTTCACCAGCATAAGGAGGCGACCTTTAATCGATGTATCCTGCTCGTCTTCGTCTTCCTCCATAGGGATTCCTGCATTACACAGAGAGAAAAAACAACCACATTGTGCATGATGCGCAGGACAACTCTCCCTCTTCTTCTTTCTTAGCAATTTAAAGTTTCTTTGTTTTTTTTGCGCGGGTAAGGCCGCCATTAGATCGGCAGCACCACGGAAGGGAGGGCGGTTCAATTATTTATCAAAACATCAAGATGTCAGAGAAATTGCGGAAGCAGCGAACGTACAAATCTTCTGCCTTGGCAGAAAGCGCTGCAGAGAGAGAGGAAGAAACATCTCATGAAGTACAGGCACAATTTTTCTGATGGCGACGCAACGGCAGCTAACAGTGCCAAGAAATATGTGCACGTAAAGCATTTTTCATAAGGATGTTTGTTTTGTTTATTATTCTTACATTATCAGCCATGATGCCGGTTTGTGCTGCCTCGGTAAAATAACTGTAATGAATTCTAAAAGCAATCAGGGAAATGTAACATTGCTGCATCATGTTGCAAAATGATGATATATGTGTTGTAATAAACATAAACAGTTTAGCGTTGCGGTTCATAATGTTTTTTGCAAGAGCTGCATCTCACCACAGTGGAGCTGCAGCTGATTATGAAAATCATAGAGTTCCTCCTGGATGTCTGCAGGGCACGGGCAGTCCTCTCCCATACTGAAGTTCAGCAGCATGTTGATCTAAAATGTGGGAAAATGTTCAAATTAGATGCATAGAGACACAAAAAATGCATAGTTAGTTATTTTTTATTTTTATTTAATTTAATAACTGTACAGTACTCTGTTTATAGTAACCATTGTCCTGAATGTAAATAAGTAAGAAAAAGTGTGTATGTTTCTGTCCTGTTTGTTGTATATGTGTCTTTCTGGCTGCTGTTACAACCAAATTTCCCCTTGTGGGACAATTAAAGGATTATTCTATTGTATTCTATTCTATATACAAATTTCTGTAGTACATTGTGCAGGGCTGGAGACTATCCCAGCTTTGTTCTAATGTTGTTATTGCAGGAATCACAGAGAAAAAACGCAGCTCGAGTGGCTAATTCTCTCTCTGCGCTAACAGGCCGAAGGACACCATGACAAGCCATTAAACGAGCTGTGCTGCACTGAATTCTGTCTGCAGCCGTGACCTTAAAGAAATGCTCTATGTATGTGCACTCTTCCCTCCCGGGGAAGCAATGCCATCAAACCAAGACCAAGAGGAATGAATTTGCCTTGAAGCTTTGCTCGCACACTCTCACATATAGACAAAGAAGAGAGCTTTATGAAACATTAGGAGCCAGAAGCAGCTCTGGTTCTCTCTGGGCTAAAAGAGGCAGAAAGAACTGAACCAAAATCTACATTAATCTCAAATTAGTCACGTATTCAGACAACAACGGTACTGACCACTCAGTTGAAGCCATGAGCCTGCAGGTTTTCCGTATGCTGAGTTATTACAGAGTCACATATTCTTTTTTTATTCTTTCTCTAAATGATGCACAATTACTGCCATTTACCCTCTGCAGCTATTTTGCACACTTGCGTCACACGAGCGTCACTACGATCACTCGGGAGATATGCGCACTGTCAGAAATCCATTAGCAGAGATACACAACTGGCGGGGTAAAGCTGTCACGAGGGAGCCCCGGCACAGATGAAAAGTGGTGCTGTGGTGGAGAAGCGCAATACATCACCTCTTTTTTAATGCTTTACGTAAAAATTGAATAATCTGGTGAGTGTCGGGTTTTAAAATTCGGTAAACACAGTCTCAACTGAACAAAAACAATACGACACAAATGAAGGTAAAATGTGAAAAATTAAACACACCCTTATTGTTTCCTTTGGGATTAGGAGGGTTAGTGGCAGCTAGGTGCTGTTAATCAAACACACTCAACTCATTGATCATCAGTAGGCAGATGTTTACTAGTCTGGAGATTTCAGGTGTGTGTTAACACAATGAAGCAATAGCCAATAGCCACGAGGCTATTTCCAAACAGTTTGAAGTCAATCACTCTGCAGTGATTAAGATTATTCAGTAGTAGCAAACATTCAAGACATCCAAGAAAAGTGAGCCCAATTTCAGATGTGCAATGCTCACAGAAGGCCTTGTGGTAAATGTTCAATTTCATGACACTATAAATACAAAAAGACTGAACAAGTAAGGGTTGTTTGGAAGAGCTGCAAGAAGGAAGCCTTTTCTCTCTACAAAGAACAAATCAGGAGAATACTTTTATGATTTCTATGCATTGTGTGTCATTGAGATGTTTGGCCATATTGCACAGTGCCAAATGAAACACAGCATATCAGCACATAACAGCTCTTACCACTTGTCAAGCATGGCGGTGGAGGGAGATGATTTGGCTTTTGTTTTGCAGCTACAGAAATTGTGTAGCTGGAAAAAGTCTATGAACTCTGTACTGAAGTATTTGAAAGTCAAATGTGAGGCCGTCTCTCCAACAGCTAAAGCTTGTACAAATTCTTTGTCATACAGCAGGATAACAATCCCAAACACAGCAGTAAATCTACAGCAGAATGGCTGTAAAAGATAATCATCTAAACTGGAACAGGCCAGTCAGTGATCGAGATGCTGCACTTTACTTCCTACTTTGGGATCCGCTGGCTTAGACCCGGCGTGCTTCTTCTCACCTGTTCTTGAGGCGGTGATCTGAACTCTTTGGTCTTCTTCGCTGTAACAGCAGCAGACATATTGAGGGCCAGCATCAGCTCATTGTAGCGGAACTTCTGGTTGTACTGCAGCTTGGACACGAAGCTGTCAGAAAAGGACACAATGGCCTCGATACGGTGCTTCAGTTCGCAGTCACAGAAATAGTGAAGCAGCTCGCACATCTGGAGAGGAGGCACACAAACAGGTACGCTTCCATCACTGTTGTGACAAAGCAGGTGTTAGTTATCAAGAATGACAGAAACATATCGAAATGCCTTATGGCTTCACATGATCCCACTTGTTAAAGAGAGATATTTACTCGTGAGATCATTTGTTCGATGCGAGACGGAGGTATTTCATGTTTGGCTGATCTCTGAACGGGCCTATTACATTAGAGCAGTTACGGAGCATTTGAGAGGACAGCTGTGTGGTTAGTTCGTAGCTGTGGATTGTCACTTTAAGATTACAATGTGCATCGATCTCACATGTTTTGGTCATTTTTATTTGTCTGTTGTGTATACAATTGTTTTCACGATCACCTGTCGTTTAACCGGCTCTGGCAGCCTCTTCTCCAGCAGTCCTTCCATTGGCTGTTGAGCCTCTTTGATTGCCTCTTCTTCTCCAGCTTCCACCGCCTTTTCCTCTGCCCCTGTTAGTCCCTCTTTGTCTGTGGCCCCCGTGGCTCCCTCCTCTCTTGCCTCTTTGAAGACGTTCGGGTCAATGAGCAGTAAAATCTTACGAACGTCCTCGCTTCCTAACACACCCATCGTCAGCAAGGTGCTAATGAGCTTCAGGATTGGAACAAGCTGGTGCTCCACGCATCCTCCGACAGGATCTCGGATGTGGTGCCCTCCACTTTGAACAGCCTCTGTCAACATCGAAATCGCTTTCTCCTTCAGTGCATCCAGTGGGATTTGGGGACTGTACAGATGCTCCCGTTTGGTGCTGATGAAGCACGGTGGGGTAAAGTTTAGGCGTGGTTTCAGGGAGGTGCTAAGCCCCACCCCGGGCGGGAGGTGCTTTTTAGAAGCATCAGAAAAGAGACGAATGGAGCGTGTCTCGGCCGTGACAGGAATGACGAACTCATCTTTCATCATGAGTCGTGCCTCTTTGGCTGTCTCCAGGTGGGTGCTAATCAGAACATTGTAGAAGCCCTCGCGTAACATGCCAGACAGGTACTGATTGTCGATGGTGTACAAGAGCTGTGATTGGTCCAGGTGGCTGCAAAGGGCGTGGGCCACACGAGTGTTTCCCAGAGCGCAGAGGGCACAGTACAGTTTCAAGGTGTGATAGTGGAACTTCTTCATGTCCTCCTGCTCCGAGAGCTCCATGACGTCAACGCACCTTTCATTAAAAAGAGCAAGAGTTAGCAGAATTCATGATGGTTCATAACACGAATTTTGTGATCTAGTCTACTTGGTGGTCAGGGAGAAACTTTAAAAACTCAGATTTTTCTATCTTAGGGATTTTTTTTAAGCCAGTAAGTTGCTTTTTACATCTGACAGCATCCAATGTGAAATTCTCAAGCAGCATCCTCTAGAGCTAAAAAGTAAAGCCAGTTCAGGGCAGTTGGACTTGAAATGGTCATTAAAGATGTCTCCATAATGCTGGGCTCACACTCTGCGATTTTTGGCCCATTTTGAGCAGATTTTTTGAGTCGTGCGACCGTTTTGGCGATCGGCCCGATTTTGGCCTTCATCGTGCGTCGTGCATCGTGTAGTATACGTGGGGTAACGAGACGCGATTGACACCTCACGACCATCAATCGCTTGGTCGCGAGGATTTCAAACCTGTTTGAAATCCTCGCGACCGTCGTGTGGGTGTCACCGCAGTTTGTCACACTGCGCGCGCGCAAACACAAATGTCGGTGAAAAAGACGGCGCAGCACAGCTGTGCAGCGTGTGATCTGGACACAAGCGATGGAGGCACAACTTGTAGAACTTTGGAGCCTTTTCGATGTGGCCTCACAAAATTATCACGACCACAACAACCGTGAAAATAGTTGGATTTACATGCTGCTCAATCACAGCTGCCTGATCATGTTTTTCATTAGCAATTTAGCAAAGTTGATGGTGGTGGTGTGTCTGTGTGAGTGAAAGACAGAGAGAGCGAGCGACAGAATTTCTGTTATAACCTTCATTTTATGGAGGCACAGTGTGAGCACTCAGGTCGCATCAGAGCATCGGGCGGTATAGTGTGAGACCTGCATCGTGACCTATGAACTTCTAACCCCTGCGAGTCAATCGTGCAGTTTGAGCAGGAGCTGAATAACGCGACTGAAAAAATCGCAGTGTCTGCCCAGCATTAGTGAGTGTCTCTCAATAAAACCCAGTCTTAAAGTGTCCAACGTTACCATGGAAGGTTTACAACCTGGTATAAAAAAATACTACTCCTCACCTCCAATCAATGTGAAAATCCAAGGTGACTTACATCTTTAGTTATCGCATCACAAGATTTTCAGAAAACTTGACCTTCAAGGTTACTGAGATTCAAATTTGCCTGACATTTCTAACAGATATGGTATTATTGTTATGGTATCAATTTGAAAACCCTACATCGCCTCATTCTCTAGTTATTGTGTTCACAAACTTGGCTGCCTACTTGCCCGGCTGGGTGAGGCTTTCACAGCTGAGGGTTAGAATGATTTTTCCCTCTACAGCTAATTTACCCCCTTTCACACTAACTGTGAGGAGCATGGCTGCTTTCACTCCCAGGTGGCTGCTCGCTAGCTGCTAGGCTTCATGCTAGTCACTCATCCATTTTTGAGTTGTTGGTGCCTTTTCTGTCTGACAGAAAATATGGATAACTGTGTGGTGAAATTACAGTAATTTATTAGTTATGTTATTGGTGGTTTGTTGCTTACCATTAACTAAGAATCATGTGTTTATGCGATGTAGGTTACTAAGCAAGTTTGCTAGTCATAGCTAATGGCACTGCACTCTAAACTGCTCTTAAATTTAAAAGGTTCAGTAGCCAGAATCTTAACAGTTATACGTCAGAATGGAAGGTGATAATAACTTGAAACTGCCCGTCCCTTAATCCTTCTGGTTGCTTAATACACTTGTCACAAACAGTTAAAAAATCAGCACGATGATTTAGCGAAGCCCACGGTGACAACTTCAAACCTGTTTTGTCTGTCTAACAGCTTATAGCCGAGGACATTTTAATACACAGCGACATAAAACTGAGGAAAGCAGAAAATCCTGAGTGACTGTTGAGATTTTAAAAAATTTACTATGTTACCAAAAAATAAAATATGACTAAATCACTTTATTGCAATGTGTGCTGATGGTTACAGGAAGCTTGTCTTTATCAAGAGTTAAATGAGAATATGAATACCACTGTCATTACTTTAAGCTAAAAATAAAGCTAGATGAAACAGGAAATTAGCTTTAAGAAAATAGAAATGGGGCAAAACAGTTAGCCTTGTTCTGATCACAAAACAAAAAGCACTTAGCAGATCAGTATTTAGTACATCTTTTGTTTAAGAATAAAGAACACAAGCTGTGTTACAACAGGCAGTTGCATGCTGTCTCGGTAAAAAAGGGTCAATGTTTGAAACTTCCTGTATAGATTAAACATTTAAGATACTGTGTGCATTGACTAGTGTGCTTTAAAAAGTAACAAATCCAGCTTATAAGCGAACTAAGCCTTGTTTCACACCTGTTCTCTTCAGGTATGTGCACTGCCAACATCTGCAGGGGCTCCATGCACTGAACCACCCATCCATGCCTCTCGTTAACCCTGGCCGTTTCCACTTTGAGGAAACTGTTGGGCATGCGGCTCCACAGCACGGCGTTTATGGTCTGGACATCCAGTCGGGGCGGACACTGTGGAACCGGGTTCTTATGCTCACTCTTGAAGATGGCTGATGACAGAGGCATGGCGTTCTGGAGAGCACACAGAGACAGCTGATGGGAATCCTGTCTGAGCACAGCATTCATTTCTATGGTATTGCAGACACAAAAGTAAGCCTGTTGTAATGGAAAAGTAAAATTAGGAGCCACGCACCTTTATTTTAGCCAGTTCAAACTGAAAGAGGCTGGGGCTGGTGGGTCGCACAAACACAGCGGGGAAAAGCTTGGTGTTTGGTTCCACCTGGAACAGAGAAAAGTGAAAAGAAAGCAAACAAAAGGTCCAAACAGGAAGTAAATATCAAAAGCTTGAGAAGGAGCTTGAAAGCGTGACTTAAGGAAAGCAGCTTAATGATGCATCATGAAAACTCTGCTACTTAGTGCAGTTTAGTTTGCCTGTGTGTGCGTGTGTGTGTGTGTGTGTGTGTGTGTGTGTGTGTGTGTGTGTGCGTGCACACATGGACATTTAAGAGTGTCGGCGATGAGTCAGCACTGTGTGAAGTCTCAAAGAATTTCAGTGAGGAAGAACGTAAGAAGATTACACCCTCTGAAAGATTATTTTGAGATTTACTTTTGAGAGGACCTCTGAACAACAAGTCCACAATTCAACAAGATGCACAGTCACTTCTCTGTTCAGTAAATATGTCTTAAATTAAGTCTTAAATTAAGTTACTCTCAAGGTCATCAGATTAAACAGGAGACGCAGGGATATATGCATGGCCAATATTAGGCTAGTGAAGAATAAGGATATTAATGCATGCATGCATCTACTTCGCAAAAGACTTGATATCCTTTATAAATCATTTTACAAGCTGTTACCAAAAAAGATCCACAACTAAAGCCATAAAACTATACAAACTGACATGTCTGTGAAGGTTCTCAATCATCCAGGTCATCGTAGTCTAAGGAGCTTGGAAAGAAAAAGCGTCTGGACTTCTTTAAGTTGCTTGAACACACACTTGGCACAACATAGAAGAGCCACCTCAACGGGACAAGAGCCAGCTATCCATCTGCATCTAAAGGGCAAAGGTCACTCTTTCAAGGACAGAGTGAAAGAAGCCATCTATGTCCACTGTGAACGAATATCTTTGAACAGATGCAGTGGCTTACGACACCAACTGTCTGCCATCTATAATCCAGTTTTGAGATCCCTTCCCAGGAAATCACATGATAGAGTTGGGCTAGGTTTCACAGCGGGTTCACCCAAAACCTTGGCTGATTGTGACCCACACCGATTTTCACACCTTGGCTCATATGATTAGGTAGAGGATCAACAGGGGGTCCATGTCTCTCTTGGGGGTCACTCCCATAGGGCTTAAATCTGGGACTCTCCACTATTTGACCCTAGAACTGAAGAAGCTTCTCAGATGAGAGGTAAAACGTCTTCAAGCAACTTAAAGAAGTCCAGACGCTTTTCTTTCCAAGCTCCTTAGTGTACAAACTGACCTGATTTATTAAATTTAACTGCTCCCCATGCCCCTCATGGTTCTCTCCTTGAGCATCCAGCTCTGACCACTTGCACATTTGTGATTTAGCTATCATCATCAAATATAAACTTTTGTCGCCATGACACTGTCAAGGACCATCAGTGATGATGAGAACTACGATAAACAGAGACCAAACAGTAGCGTTCGTGGAAGCATTTCCAGGGCACAATGGTGATGTGCAGGTATTCAGGTGATTCAAAGGGTGATTCAAAAGTGGGAGTGATGGGAATTGTTTATGGCTGCACTTGCAGACCCTGAAATTGATGTCCAAATTCACAGTTTTGTTTCCAATGAGCCAGATGTTCTTTTAAAGTTTTCAATTGGTTTTGCGTCACAGTTCTCTGGGTTTTTTAAAGTTAACACTTCACTCCAACCTATGAATCATTCAAGCATAACAAACACATAACTCAAGGGACGAACAAGTGTTGTGTCTTCACATAACAGATAAAAAAAGAAAAGAACGAATATTAAATTGTATCTTTGACATTTTTACTAGCAGCCTTTTGTAAAAGCATATAATCTTTTCCTTGAATCTACAAAAAAAATATACAAAATGTACAAAAACAACAGTCTGACAGGCACAAGATTGCCTTTTTCATTCTTAAGGAAGGAAAACGAGAAGAAAAGCTATGCCACATTACACATGAACTAGAATGTAAAACAGTGAGAACAGGTCTTATGGAAAGAACGTTTTTCTCCAAATCTTCGTCAATGTGTAGTGAGGAGGTAAGGAAAGAGGTACAACAGTGAGTGTCTACAGCCATCTGTAAAACACAGAAGAAGCTCTGTCTGATTTGGAGCTGCATGTCACTCAGTGGTGTTGTGGATTTTGTCAGAACTGATGGAACTGTGAGAAGTGCTGTCAGATTTTGATCCAGCATGAAATAGCATCTGGAAAGGATCTGATTGGCAACGGTTCAATTTTTCAGCATGGCAATGATGCCAAACACACTGCCAAAGCAGTAAAAGCATACCTGGATAGAAAAACACACAATGGAATGCCGTCGGTCACTGACTGGCCTCCCCGAACCTTAACAACTTTGAAACAGAGTGGGATCATATTGGGAGTAAAAAGAAGCTACGGTAGAGCAGGTCAGGTCGGTCGATCCATGACTCCTGCTAAATGCACTAAGTTGCCCCCGATGCACGTGAATAGGCATAGAAAGCATAGATAAAAGCTCTACACCTGGACATGTCGCCAGTCTGTCGCCGGGCTAACACATAGACAACCATTCATACCCGCATTCACTCCCACATCTATACCTATGGACAATTTAGAGTTTCCAACCTAATCAACCTAACCCCACTAACTGTAGTACAGTGGCACGGTGGTTAGCACTGTTGCCTCACTTCAAAAAGGTCCTGAGTTCAAGTCCACCATCAGGCCAGGGTTCGTATGTTCTCCCCGTGTTTGTGTGGGTTCCCTCCGGGTACTCCGGCTTCCTCCCACAGTCCAAAGACAATATAACTTTCCATTTAGAATTTACCAAAGGGGAGCCAACATCTGAAAATCATTGAATGTCCTAAAGAAGCCTGGAGGACCATTCCTGAAGACTATTTAGAAATGTGTTGGAAAACAAAGGCAGTTGTGTCAAATATTGACTTTCAAGCTCATTAGAATTGTACAAACTCTGTTTTTGCCCCATATTTTGTATTCCCATTCAATCTTTCACCTTATTTCTATTTTCCTAGCAAAATATAAAAAACTGATGAAGAGGTTCAAGACTTTTGCACAGTTTTGTAAATTTACTTTTTATTAGTTCGGTAGCATAGTTATTTTGGGTTGCACCCATCACACTAGATACTTTTAATTATAGAGAAACATAGCAATAGTTATATTCTTGCTTGCACAGCTGTGTGTGTTGTACCTGGTAGGAGGTAGAGATATCTTTGCCATTGACGGTGAATGTCAGTAGGCCAGTGGCCAAATCTATTAGACAGCCGATCTCCAGATCCACATTGCTGCGACCGGAGGTGTGGGAAGTGCTGGTGACATCACCACCCCACACCATGTAGCAGTTGCTCCTCTTCACGCTGTCAGTAATAAGCATATATAAAAATCTTTACAAGGTTAGTAATTAAAAATAATCGTCAGCATTTATTACATATAAACACAGAGGGCGTCACCTCTCGTGGACTCGCCCACGTTCATCGCCCAGGGTTACAGTCACTGTACGATTCTTGCTGAGGTTGAAGTTGTTGCTATAGTAATGGTAGTCAGGAGTAACCCATCCAACCCACACACAGGCAGGGTCCTGACCTGCGAAGACCCTCACTGAATGGTAGTACTGTAACAAAACAGAGAAGAGAGACTTAGCCAAAAATGAAAACGCATTTAGTTTGAGCAGCTGCAAACAGACGTTTCTTCTGTACCGTAGTGATGCTGCTGTAGTCCACTCGTCTACTTTCATCGCTGTGCCTCACAGATCTCAGTGGATATCTATCAGAAACCATATTCAAAAAGTCATTAGCGAGCAGATAACATGTCGGATTCAAGGTTTTCTCGCAAAAGAGCTTAAAGTCACAGTTTTGGGAAGTTCAGCACCTGTGTTTAACTTTAAGGGTTTCTTCCTCATGAACACCGTTCATGTCCACCACAGGGCTGATCTTGAAGACGGAGTGGAACTCCACAGGCATGCTCAGACGACAAAACACCATGTCTGCGTTACTGTTCTGTGTCCCAAACGTCTTGTGGGTGACTTTGAGACAAGGAGGGCTGTCGATGGTGCCGTCGATCCTGGTTACCTGCAAACAAACGATGACAATCTTCGCGTTCATCGTCTAGGCCAATTCAATCGTTTTTAACAATTTCACAGTTTCTTCTTTCTTACCGCAATGTGGTTGTGGTCCTTCGGCACGTTGACAAAAGTAGGCAGACGCTTGCTGAACCACATCGTGACCTCTCGATTCATGTTGACGGCAAATGGCTCGAATCCCTCCTGCAAGCCGCACATGGTGTAGTACTTAAAGGTGCTAGCATCCTTCCCGAGGTTCATACGACCCACCTGCGACAGACCGAGGCTACACACTGGAATAAACCCTGCAGGACAGACAAAGTACATAAAGACAAAGGGGGGGAGCAAAGAAGGAGGAGAGAAAGAAGTCTTTAAGAATACACGGCAGGAGGGATGGAACATCAATGCAGCTTTTGCAAAAGGCAATTTACAAGTGGCACTTCAAATATGGCTGATTTCCACACAGGGAGCCGCTCAATTTTAACTTATATCACCACCATGATTGTTCTGGGATAAAGCCTTCTGCTCTACATGTGAAGGCTTTAAAAGATGAGGGCAGGATGGCAAGGACGTGTGCTCAACAGCTCCTCACAGCCACATTCATACACGCTCTTTCTCACCATCCTCAGTTTCAAAGTCCGTGAAGCAGAGTTCAGAGCCCTTGGTGGTGATCAGGATCTCCCCGTTCAGAGTGAAGATCATGGACTTGTCCTCCATGTTGATCATGCAGCCCACCACATCCCCAGCATGCCAACAGCGCCCAAACAGCCGGCTGCCCATGTTCAGGCAGTGGCCCTATGCACAGTACAGACACAAGGAATACCATATGGTATACACACAATGTGAGCAACTACTTTAAATGAGCTTAACACCAAATAATTAAATAGGTTTTTAAATACGAAAGAATAAAGGGCGAAAGCTATTTTTCGAGTAGTCTACGTGAACTTCACCAATACGCCTTCGGGATTAACTGAGATTTGGTTGACAGCTTACCCTGTATCCATCAAAGACAAACGCAAGCTCATCTGTGCCAAGCTCCACATCTGGCTTACACCCAGGTCTGGCCCAGCCCACTCTCATGTCTCCACCGGTAACGGCCTCAAATTCGAAGTACCACTTCCCGGTCTTCACTGCGTACGTTCTCTCTACCCTAAAGAAGCGGATCTTATCAATGCTGAGGCGCTCCGAGACTTGTCCTGCTGGGTGAAAGGAGAATAATAAGAAGCAATGGAAATATTAATTGCAAAAACCCAGTGGCTGTAGGTAAAGGCAGCAATTTCATATGGCTATTCTCTTTCACTCTAAACTGAAAGGAGATGGAAGGCAAAGTCCCATATCAGGACATATTTTTTTATCCTTATTCTTTGTAAGGAGCATTTTATTATGCACTGTATAATTTGAACTTCTGGGCATTTTGATTAGCACACTTTCATGGGTGAAACTCACCGCCTTCCTGGTCCGAGGGCTCGATGTTGTACCCGTAGCCAATCAGAGTGCGGATAGCTTCCCGCAGGCTGTCCCTGTTCGACTTCTTGGTGCGTTCATCCAGCAGAGCATAAGGAACCAGGCGAGGGTTACGCTTACTTTTAAGATCCTGCACGGAGGAGAAGCAGCAAGAGAAATGTTAAAGTTTAAAGCCTTTTTAAAAAACATTCATTTGTCCCACCAGTTGAAAGGCAAATGAAGGGATTTCATTCAGCTGTAAAGCAGATTTGTGAATTTAAATTAGAGTTTTTTCTTTTATTTATTTCAGGTTTGTTTGATGAGCTTGTAGCTGAAGCTCTGCAGCTGGTTATGTGTCCAATATTACTACCTTATTAGTTAACAAATCCACAAGTGAACTATAGACTGGTCTGAAACTGAGAAGATAACAGACAAAGCTGAAATAGAACAAAATCAGCCTTTCGGTTTACACAATTCCCTGACAAGTAAAAGATCCCCAGTTTGATCCCGGGAGGAGACACAAATCCCAGTGGGCTTTTGTCAGGAAAAGGATCCGGCATAAAAAAGCTTTGCCAACTCAAACATGCGGAGCTACCCACTGTGGCAACCCCTTGTGAATAAGGAAGCAGGCAAAAGTAGCGTATTCTTCCACATATTAAGAAAACAGATTTTTCTTTCTTTGCAGCATTTGTATTTGATCTGAGCATTTTTTCCCAGCACATTGTATCCGGTTGTTCAGTGATGACGTGACGAATCCTACTTCCGGGTCTAAAGCAGTCTGCGTTTAATATGGCTTTTGTGTTGTTAACATGTTTAATGTTTTGTATTTTCTTCTATTTGATCTCAAAAAGCTCCTAAAACAGTCAGTGATCACTGTTGACCTCCCTCGACTTTTATTACCGCTAATCATTTATTTAAGCTCAGTTTTTAAAACCTTAGGATGTAACTACAGCCCAGCCCATGCAGCAGTACATGAATGACTAACCTCGTATTGTGGATGGATTATCTCAGTTGTTCTCCTGGCTGAAGTTTGGTCCTTTTACAGCATCCTGCCATGCGATTACATTTGTTCCTGACCACCGAGAACACTCACGTTAAATTTTATCGAGTGGAAAAAAGTTAGCTTGTTTATATTATGCTAACATAGCTGTGTCGCTAGCGGTCACGTAGCACATCATTATATAGCAGCTAGCCCAACTTCAGTAACCCTACAAACGTCACTGCTGTTTAGTTTTCTGTCTTCATTCATGCTGGAAGTGATAACAGAGCTGTACGTTTTAATTTGTTTCCAAAACCCCGCAGTCAGGACATGCTATATTGTATTTAGATAGAAGCTAGCGAGCTAACTCCATGCTAACTTCTAACTCCGTTAAATGTCATAAATTCCGTTTTCATGGATGCCTGGATGCTAAACTTAGTTGTTACACCTGGTAGAGCAGAACGCTGATCATTTTAGGCGGAGTTTAGGCCCAGACACGGCTAGTGACGTCAGACTGAACAACCGGATAGACTGCACCAGATGTCCAGGAACATTACTACTTTCTGGCTGAGTAATTTGCACAGACCTCTGGACAATGTAAAGCTGCTGCTCTTAGATTATAGGGATGCACTCATAAGCACTTTACAGCAACAATGTCTGCTTTTGAATGTACCTGTTCTCTGAGAAGCTATTTTTTAAATCTCTTCAATCAAATTTGAACATTAAAGCATGTGTTTTCCTAGATGTGTTCACAGTGATCTAAGGTTGTTGTTCGTCTTTCACTTCTAACCAAACCTCAGCGCTGTTCACATGTCTGGCGAAGGTGTCGATTCTTTGGTGGGTTTGAGCATACCTGCTGAATCCCGTATGTCCATCCCTGTTTGATCCGGTCCTTGGCCCACACATTGTGAGCGTTCTCTGCCAGTTTGTCCACCAGCAGCTCCTGCCCCGGAGTCAGTTTGATATCGGACAGGTCCAGAGGGGACGGCTTATAACCATTGGACATCATGTAGCTACAGGAAAAAACAATGAAAAAGGAATTTTTCCCCCAGTTATGGATACAGTTAAACCACAGGGACCAGTTTACATTTACAGCCTGATGGGAATCTCTATGGCAGTAAACACAATAAATATCCTTTATTTCTTATACTGCTGGACATTTTTGGATGATCTGTGATTGGGTTACCAAATATTTTGATTCATTTCATTTCTCTTACTGTCTTACTATAGAGCGGCCTAGTCATTACTGTCCAATTGTGTGATGTACAATCAATATCATGAGTAGTGCGTGTGCTCGTATCGTTGCTATAATCATACCCACTTACTTCTTAGGGAGCTTTATCTTTTTGAGAGAGTCCTCAGCATTTGGATTCATGTGAACTATACGACAGCCTAAGGCCAGCAGAGTCCTGCAGGGGAAAAAATAACCACAGTGACCAATAAACTGATTTGACAGTATATGCAAAGAACCAGAGAGGCTGCTGAATGTGTCCAAACAGAGCACGATGGGTTAAATTACGCGTGTCCTAATCTGTTACACAAGAAAGGCCGACTAAACTAAACTACAGCACGTCATCGCTTCAGCTTTACTATGAAATCAGTGAACTGTTAGCTAAACTTGTGATATTCCTCATAAATAGTTTAAATCCAACGAAAAAAGAAAATGCATTATCTGAGAATAATATGTCAGATATGGTTTTTTAGGCTATTTTTATAACAGAGGTGTTGTCCATGAAGACAAAAACAATCCATCATGTTCGCCGTACTTCAGAGTCTCCGTTGACATCTGCAGATTGTAGTTTTTTTCCGTTTCCGGCAGCTTGGAGAAATCCACCAGGCACGGATGCTGCCGCTTATTATCATCCCTTATCTGTGAGGAAAACAGAGAAAAAATTCAAATTCAAATTTTATTTGTCACATACACAGTCATACACAGCACGATATGCAGTGAAATGCTTGGACAACTGCTCGTGACCTAAAAAAACAAAAATGGAAAAGGCTATGAATAAGATAGGAAATAAATAAAAAACACACATATCAACACCTCCTGACGTTCTCATCATTGCTGTTCAGCAGCTCTGCATTCATATGTACATCAAGTCCTACTAGATCTATGCATATGAGATACACAGCCTCATAACTCATTGTCACTGTGAACTAACAAGGGGGCAGGCATGTGGTTTAAGTCCTGGGTGCTACTAGTTGCAGTGATTAGACTACTCTAGTGAACATGTTATGAGAGAGGGACAAGAGAGCATGTTTTCTTGGCAGAGCCAGAGAGCTGTATGGCAGGAATACCGAGTGAGAGGCGTAATGCGTCTCTCTCGAGGCTGCGCTTTAAGCCAAATAATCCCTTTGGCAATGCTGCTCAGAGGAGGTGGCATGGCAATGGTGGATGTTTACCAAGAAAACATGCAGGGCTGTGTACAGATATGCAGCTGTTTCCGTGGGTCTAATGAATAGCAGCCAGCTCTTTTGTGAATAGTACAAGAACTATGGGAAATCTCCTCTTTCATATTTACATGCAACCAGTGCTAAATAGCAAAAACAGGTTTATTTTATCTGCTATGTGACCTCTACCACATGTATAACTGACTCCAACTCACTTGGCTAAAAAAACCTTGACAATAAAACTAGTTTATTATTGTTATTTACCAAATCTCAGACTTGTCTTTGTCCTAAATCAAAGATTTTTCGAGGAGGAGGACAGAGTGAAAGCTTACAAGCTAGCGCAGAATTCTCATGTTGTATTATAGACATAAGAGCTGCGTCTTGTTGCTGGTTTCTTGTTTTTCCTTCCTTTAAGAGCAAAACAGGTCACTTTGGCGTTATCCTGTGGTAACTATACAACAAACCAGAAAGCCATCAGCTAGAATTTGGAGTTAAACAGATGAAACCATAACCGACTTAAATTCGGACGTGCCTTCTTTTTGACCACTTGTGCAACCGTGACTTACAATAGACCCGAGCAGAGAGTAAACAATACAAACACAGCAGGAGAACTTGAAGTGGGATGGAGCTGAATTTAAATCAGGTACAGTTTTTGTCTTCTGTTGCAGGAGCCTGCTGATTGCACTGCGTACACTGTAATTATAAGCATGCGTTTCCAGCTGACTGTATTGGGAAATACACTAATTTGTTCTTTTAGGGAGTTTAGATGAGAATTTGATATCACTACAGGTGAAGCCAGGAGACTTCAGCTTAAAAAACCTCAAGCATAAGCTCTCCGACGATAAAAGAGCTCAAAAGCTAAGTCAGATATACTTTTGAACTTGCCCCACAGATCCAGACTAGGTGTTTCCCACTGCTTCTGGTCTTTATGCTTGATCAGGCTTGATGCCAGTTAATAATAGAAAACATCGGCTGTTAATCTGGCAATTTTTTGGACATAGCCAGCAGAGGCAAGAATAACACAGACTAACACAGCCTCATCTCAATTTCACATTACTCTTCCAATCTAAGTATAGCATACAATCATATTCTCAGATTCCTATCAGTAGCAGGAGAAAAGATACAACATCTGCTCCGAATATATAGACAGGCCTTTTGATTGGTTTCTGGCTCATAGCGGGTTATGTCATGTGTTTTGATTGACCCTCTGAACATTTAAAGAATTAGAAACTCCATCAGTTTTTCTTTGAAAAGGAGAAAAACAAAAAACAAAATGCAAATTTTAGTCTGGGTTTATTCAGGTGATGAAATTGCCAAGACATCCTGTTCTGCCCTTTGGGTGAAACAACAATTTGTAATTCATGACTGACAGTAGAACACAGACACAATGACTCTGCTACCTACAAACAAACTGGATGTGAATGAAGGATGTAAATGAGTGGCGTGGAAAAGCGCTGAATGTGAACAATGACAGTGTTCTTTTTCCACTTACCCTCTTTTTGGTGTAAACCGCAAATTATAAAAGAGAAAGCAAGATGACACACAAGCCTCTGTGATGGTAAGTTGTCACACTCATCGAGAAAAAATTGTAATTGTCGTGTTTATTTCTCCACAAACATGGAAAACGGCATGGAGTATGCTTTTTATCTTTTGATCCGAGCGATGAACTTGTAGGAGAACAACATAAGCAACTAAATAACAATCTCATTAACAATCTAACCCTTACCTTGCCATAAGACCAGCCAAGCTCAATCTTATTCATGCCCCAGAGCTCATGGATATTTTCAGCCAGCTTGTCCCGAACCTTCTCCAAATGAGGCGGCATGACAATCTGAAGGAACAGGTAAGCAAATGAGCATTTTCCAAAAAGTTGTGCAAACTATAGAATGCAAAAAACTCAGTAGTTGAAACAAAGTAATGCAATTCTTTTGGAAAAATTAAACAAATACACAAGATGCATCAAATTGAAGATGAGCATTTTTTCAGTTGATTTGCATTCTTTTACATGTCACACTGCATCACAGCCTTTGTGAAAAAGGGGGCGTTTTTCTCATGATCACCATCCTGCACGCCTCCTGTGAGCTTACCTGGCTGGTTTCCACAGGTGTGGGGATGAAGGAGGCCTGCGACATGAACTGGGTGGTGCCCAGCAGATCTCGAACTCCGTCCACATCTCTCTTATACTCTTTCACCGGCTCCACCTTCATCTTCTCTTTTGGCAGCAGAGCCTCATAACACGGTGCGTAGCTTGATGGAGGCAGGAACTTGAAGTCACCGTGCCGTCCGCCCAACAGGAAACGAACCCTAACCAGAGAAAAGTTGCTCACGTGACTTGGCTTATTGCAATGTTTTACGTGCACACTAAAAGAAAATTAAACGCTGTTAATAAAAGAAGCGACTAGTGAAAAGAAAACTATCCATCCATCCATCCATTCGCTTCCGCTTTTAAAAGTAGAGGAAAGAAAACTAATCCTCTACTTTTATTCTTAACGCTCTTAAACAGGTTCTACTCCAATGGGGACACGTTTAGTTCTGTGAATGAAAAAAACATTGCGAAACCGTCTCTCGAGGCTGCTCAAAATAGCAGTTCAAGTAGTAGCAGTGACGCAACCAAGCTCATTCTCACTGCGGCCCTCAATTATTAAGCACTGAGGATGTGTGGCTGTCATGTTCTGGCACGTTTAAGTCCGTGGAGACGTTCACCCTGTTCACTGGGCCAATTCCAAGCTTCCACACACTCACGCTCTGCTGTGACTGGTCAACACAGTGTTAGCTGTACAATCACCCGACCAATGAAAGAGTCAGATCAGACCTTGACAACACTTCAACTACTAAAAAGGACAAATCTGTTCCAAACAGCCTGTTTTATGCAATTGTAGACAATTTGGATTCTTTCACTCGGTCTGTAATAATGAAGCAGCTCAAGGGTCTTTGCATGTTGAACCTCTTTGTTATTATAAGCTGTGAGGTTGGCATCAGGACTCGTCCCCTGTCTGGTTTGTTCTTGTCACACCTTTACCAGGTGTGCTGGGCTGATGTAGAACTTGCGATCCTAAGTCTCTCCACTCTTTTCAGTCACCAATCTCATGCACTATTGAATCACGTGTCTCTCTGGAATGTCTGGAACTCCAGAGTTGTGAAAACCTTTCAGCCACATGTGCCCGCTTCAGCTTGGAACCTCAGAAACACATTTTTTGCCTTCCAAATCACTGCGGGTACTTTACTGTTCACTTATATTGCCATATTTGGAATACTGTGTGGAAATCTGGGGAAATACATACAAAACTTCACTTCAACCACTATGTAAAATTCAGAAAAAAGCAATCAGGATGATTACTAAAGCAGGATTTAGAGACCACACTAACATCATGTTCTTGAAATTAAAAATTCTGAAGTTTATGGATCTTATAAAATATAAAACTGCAAAAATTATGTACAAAGCCAGATACAATGTGTTACCAGGAAATGTACAGAGGATGTTTTTTGACAAAGAAGGGGACTATGAATTGAGGGGGAAATTAAATCTGAAGACTCTTAAAGCACGGACAAAGGTTAAAACCTTTTGTGTTACTATTTATGGGGTAAAACTCTGGAATAGTTTTACTGTGGACCTACAGCAATGCTCAAGCATTAGTCAGTTCATAAAGACGTTTCGAAAACTGCTTTAGGAAGAATATGAAACTGATAAAGTTGATCACCCATTGTGTGTATAAATATACTAAATTGTATCTAAATTATATCTATCACTGTAGCTATGTTTATACATGTTCTCCTTGTTTATTGTGTGGGGTAAGTGATGATGGGAATTAGGTGAATAGTGGCATTCAATAAAATGTTGAGCATGGGGTAGGGATTAATAAGTATGTTATACTTCTTCCTACTCCATTTCAGACCTAATAATTGTCATTTCATGTCATTTAGACTTTGTTTTATTTTATTTTATTTTTTTGTTTTATCTGAGCACATACGTGTGTGTGTGTATTTACATATATATTCGTATTTGTAAATGCAAGTATGTGTAGTTGTGTATATATTGGGGTTTTTTTCTGTATATGTCTGAAATAAAGATACAATACAAATACAAACCTGTAAAGGAGAAGACTCACCTGCTCACCTGCCTGCCCACTCTCCACCGATCCACCCTACTGTGGAAACTAGCCTCCTCCCCCAAAGCACCTCCCACTCAAATAAGACCATTTCCAGGTTCCACAATCCAGTCCACAAATCACGACCTCCGGTTGAACTATTTCTAACTCTGTTCCTCATCCTCCCCAGACCTCACATGCGCACGCTCAGTCCCACAGCTTCCACCACATTAGATATGCTTATTCGCCAACTTGAAAATAAACACTTGATACACACAAACTCCCATCTGAGCACATTTTCTGAGTCCATGCCAATCCTTAGTATGGCTCAGTGTTTCTGAGTGTAGAATGCATTGACCGAAGATGAAACGCTTGTAAAATAAGAAACATATTTCATGATCTAAAAGGTTATTTAGGCGTCCAATCAACAGCAAAGACTAACAAAAAAACCATGAAACTGACCAGTGACCTCTTGAAGGGGCCAATGAATCATTAGTTGTCTAATCACTTATCTTTGTTCTTTGGTCAACTCTGTTTTAAACATGTTACATAAATACATTTAACCTTTAACCTTTAACCTAACAGAAACAACCAATCCTCCACTTGCTCCAATTTTGCACCAGGTGCAAAGTAACAGCAAGCTGTCACAAAAAACACTAAAATCCCTTAAAAAGGAACCGTTTAATATTTCAAGCAATTCTCATGCAGCATGTTGGCACATGAGCGTGTGTGTGAGTGGTAATAAACTCCTTATCTAACTTCTGTTAACCAGCGTAACAACTGGGTCAGTAACACACATTGTTCAATTAATCTTTTCTGCACGTCAGATAATACAGACAGTGTGAGAACAATGACGCTATTAAAAGTGACATCATTTGTGGAAAAAAATGCATGAAAATGATTTGAGAGACGGGGAAATCAAGCGGAGCGTTACGCCTTTTTCTTTCCTTTTCTTAGCCACACAGATGAACCACTTTTTTTTAAATGAATGATGATTGAACTCTGACGTTTTTCTTAAATAAATTCATTTTCTAATATTTAACATGACCAAACATTGTGGCAGGTGTCTCAGAGGGAACGTGGCAAAAGGCTACTGTGCTCTTCAAAGTCGGAGTCGATCATGGAATTGTGGGAAAACTGCTGGAGCTTGAAATTCCCTTTTCAAGTCACATCAATCACACTATCAGTGGTCACCATGGAAACAGAATTTTTTTCCTGTTTTTTAAGCCGCGTCTAATCTAAAAGCCTCGAAGACAAAATGAAAGTCAGACTATAAAGACAGAATTGCAGCGTGCCTGTTAACGTCTAATAAAGCATATGAACAGAAAAAATACACACTCACTTGACACCTGCAGAGAAACTGACAACAGGGAAGAAGAGTCCGTCTGTGTTGAAATTTTCAAACATGCCCTGGACGGGCTGTCCGTTGATCCTGAAGGATATGCTGGGGGCTCCAAGGTCCAGGCAGCAGCTCACCACGTCCTCTGAGGTCAGAATGTGCTGGTTCATGGACGCAACCGCCCGCGGGATACGACCTGATCGGGACACACGCACAAACTGCTATGTGAAATACGACCTAGTGAGTTGTGCTGGCACAAATCACACCTCTACCTCCCTCTCTCTCACACACACATGCTGTTGGATACACACATTTGCACACAACGACACAGACTCTGGGCAAGGAGATCGTCCCTGCAGGGCACTGGTTCTGTCTAGACACAACTTGGCTGTAACCCAGGGTTACCGCTCATCTTCTAATGCTTTAGTTACTCCAGACACCGGCTTGTCCCACCCACCTGACCAGAGGTGGAGTCCATCAAAGCCGTACGAGTAGAGATCATCACCAACTCCATTACCACCCCAGCCCTCTCCTCCTCCCGGGTAGGGTGCATAGCCTTTTGTGTTCGCCCAGCCGATTCTGAGGTGGGAGGGCTCGCTGGTCACAAAGTGGTCCACCTGGTCGATCATGAGTTCATAGTACCACTTCTTGTACTGAGCCGAGCCTTCACTCACGCCCAGGAAGATGTTCGGTCTCATGCTGGCAAAGAAGTGCAATGTGACATCACCACCAGAGTTACATTTTTAATTACAATATTGTACTTTTCACTTAAAAAAACTGCAACATTCCATACAAAGTTATTTAACTACTAAGATAAAAAACAAACAAACAAGAGATTAAAAAACATATAATGATTTCACAAAAGATTAATAAATTGAAAGTAAGCTTTAGACTCTAGAGAAATAACTGTGGGCTGAGTTATCAGAGAAGCAAGGAGGAGAAAGATAGCAAGATAAATAAATGGCTCTCTAACCTCTGGACATCATTGACCAGCTGGGTTTGCAACAGCAGATCTCTCTTGGGCAGCAAGTGATCGCAGATGAGGTTCTGATTGGTTCGCACAGCTACGCCATTACACACACACAGTGAACAGAGCACATCTAGTATCTAAAAAAGAAGGTGAAGGAGGTAGGGATAATAAGCAACACCATCTAATGGAAGACCATAACAGCACTTAACACGCACTAATGATAACACGTTTACTTCATTTTCCCTATTATACCCCAGATGTGCATCTGCACCTTTCTGGAAATGACTAATTATACTTCACTGTCCAGGATGCTGCCGGAGGGACAGTCCCTTTATATGCAACCACTGCATAATTACTCTGCGATTGTTACTGGGTACAAAAACATGTTAAAGAATACCCTTTTGATGTTAGCTTAACAAAGCTGTAGAACCAAATGGGCCAGGATGCTCAGCCAAGGGTGACAGCATAGAACACCTACGCTTTAGCATTGACCTTTTTCTCCTGCTTCCACTGCAAAACGGTACAGTCGGGCTGATTTACGACCCAGGCCGGCTCCTGATCTTATTTCACTGTTAAACAGACTGTTTCGTGTTGGGGCACGCGGCTACGAAAAGCTCCAGGAGCCTTCTCAACAAGAAGAACCCCACTCATCTGTACAGTATGTACAGCTACTAGCCAGCAGATGGTCAGCTTAGCATGGAGACTGTGGCAAAGAGTGTTGCTCTTTCCAAGTTAGGTACACAAGCACCAGTGAAGTTGACATGTCGTGTGCTTCAACTGTTGAAAGAAATATTAAACACCAAGTTCAAACATAATTTGCAGTTATTATTTGAATGCTTTGTTCTAGTGCACTTCTTAGCAGGAGTAATTTGTTGAGCAGCCAGTGAAGACTTCACAAAGTCATAAGACAACTTCAATTGGTTGCATGTTACTGTGACATATTCACCGTACAGACACACAAACAAAGAAAACATCACATTATTCCTTTATGCTTTTATTGGGGTTTTACTTTTTTTTCTGGCATTACTTTGTAAATAAATCTAATTTCAATGTATTTTATTTGAAATTTTAGTATAATTATACTTATATACACAAAAAATGGGGTAACGAGTCAGGTTTCTACAGGGAACAAAGCAATAATTATACTGTAAGTAATTTTAATCAGTCTAAACCGTGGGTGGGCAACTCCAGGCCTCAAGTGCCGGTGTCCTGCAGGTTTTAGATCTCACCCTGGGTCAACACACCTGAATCAAATGATTAGTTCATTACCAGGCCTCTGGAGAACTTCAAGACATGTTGAGGAGGTCATTTAGCCACTTGAATCAGCTGTGTTGGATGAAGGACACATCTAAAACCTGCAGGACACCGGCCCTCGAGGCCAGGAGTTGCCCTACCCCTGCTCTAAACCATATTTTATATTAAAGAAAACGAGACACAAATTCCATTGTAAGTAATTTAAAGTAATTTCTTGGTAATTTTGTGGAAAAACAACCAATATTTCCCCATCTTACATAAGAAGTGTGCTGTACATTTTGGTGGGCATGGAGTGGTTTAACCTCGCCTAATGTCCCAAGTGTACTACAGGAAAGTAAACAGTCCCTTTATGAGTAAACAGTGATTATGAAAGGAAAACAAAATTAGTTAGACTTGGCTCCATCATCTTGAAGGTCACATAGACCTGCAAATTTTAAAGGTATTTTTTCTTGTAGTTTCAAATAAAATACACATAAAAATTCAATTTCATTGCACGGGCCGTATTATAAAGTGTTACGCTTTTTCTTAACATAAATTGCTGTTCTTTGTATTGCATAGTTATTTTTCAACATGTGCACAACCCAGATGTGTATTTCACCATGTAGCAACAACACTTACTGCTTACCTTGTGGTTGCGTCCATGCTTGTACAGCAGCGATATGATGGATTTAATGTGTCCTTTCTGGATGATATTGAGCGCCTCGGGGCTCTCGATTAAAATGCAGTGCAGAACTTCCAGAATCCCTGCACAGCCGCAAAATTCATCAATTACTTAACACTCGCAAAAGACGCACCAAAGGACACTCGTCAAAGACGCATTCTGTCCGCACAGAGCAACAGAAAACCCTGCTGGTGCACTCCTTACTGCACATTTAAAAAGTAAAAGTCGCTATTCCCATGATTTCAGCCAACAGTGTCACCTTTCAAAAAAAGACTCCTGTACCTGTTAAAAGAATTTTAATAGTTTTGCGATGTTGCACAAAAGCTCTCTCACACTGCTGTTTCACTGCAGGCTCATGTGTATGTGTCAGAATGCTAATGAGTGTACCTGAAGAAGACTCCAGTCTCTCCAGCTTGCTCACCAGCCAGTCCAGGTTGTTGGAGAACTGTGTGCAGTTGTTGCGGTTTCCTCGGATTAACGCAGCTGCAGGACACGAGGAAAGTGCGCACGAGTCAGCGCATTGCTTAATGTGACGACTTACACAACAGAAAAACAATGTCACGCAAAGGTGAACACAAAGCCGGTTAAGGAAGACATTGTGCTTTGACACTCTTAAACATATTAGTTTTAGAAGATGCCTTAGAGAGAAGGTGGGACCAGACATAAACATATGAGGACAAACACACCCACATGTACGTCCTAGCATGAAAAAAACAGGGTCATCCGATGCAGGGAGACAAAGAAGAAAGGAGGGAGGCATCCCAAATCCACTTAGCACTGCGCTCAACCAGGTGTGTGAAGAAGGGGCAAGGGGAACAGAGAAAGAGATGTGACTAGAACACTAATAGGAGTCAGCAGGTGAAGTCAGTGTAAATAAGAGCGTGAAGGACATCCTTGGAGGGCAGAGAGGGCTTCAGTGTGGCGAGATGAAAGATAAACTCTACATACGGGCTATCTCAGCTTAAGAATGAAACTCATTTCAAACATGACAGGAAGAAAATCGTGCCTGCTCACAATTTTCTGCTCGTAGATGGATCTTTTTATGTGAAAGCTGCTGAAATAACAGTCGAGACAAACATTGTACTCATCAGATGGAAGATGGCAGGATATACAGCCAAAAAAAAAGCTTTTTCCTGCCAGGTCATTTTACTGAGATACGTCCTATATATGACGGAGCATATGGATGCAGTGCAAGAGGTTATAGTGAATTTGAAAAGGAGGGGTGATGACACTGGGCAGTAGGAACACAGAGAGCAAAACAAAACAGAGAACTGAGAGGACAGAGATGAAAATTGACATTAGGCAGCTAGAAAGAATGAGGTCAGTGGGAAATACCCAAACACTCTGTGTGTGTCTGTGTGTGTGTCTGAGATGAGTGATGTTGTTGGGTCGATGCCCTGGCATTGGGCCGCATGCCACCGAGCCTTTTCTGCAACAATGTGTTTGTCTGTTTTGTTTTTGGAGTATTAAAAAAGTGTATTTATGGTTCATGTGTCTTCAATTCAGTTTTATTTATACAGCATCAATTCACAGCAACAGTCACAGAAAGGTGCTTTACACTGTGATGCAAAGAGCCTAAAATTATGTGGAGAAAACCGCTGTGATCAACCATCTGGAGACAGTGGGACGGAAGAACGCACTTTTAAAGAGGAAGAAAGCTCTGGCAGAATCTGGCCATCTGCCGCATCCTGTGTGTCAGTGTGCAAATGTGAATCTGAACTTTCAATTTTAAGATTAATTGCAGTTGGCAGTGAGTCTGTGTGTACGCCTGTGTGTGTATTTGTGTGTGTGCAGTTACGACCAGCATCTCACCCAGCAGCTCATACAGCAGGTTGAGAATGTCTTTCCAGGCCGCTCCAGCCTCCGAGCCCGCGCACTCCCCAAAATGTGCGGCGCTGTTATAGACGTTCAGTCGGTCAATACAGTTGGACACCAGAGTCAGCATGCCCTAAAAAAGAGGCAGTGACACATGTCACATGACCCACCACATGTCACTGGTATAAGAGCTTCCTCTGATGAAATCTGCCCCCAGTTTTCAGTTAGTGTAATGCAGCTTCATGATGGTCTTGAACTGGTTTATTCTACAGACTTGAAATACCTGAGATCTGATATGCTAAATGCAAAGTGTTCCAGTTATTGTGACAAGCTGACCTTCGGGATTAGAATTAAGATAGAAATGTGCTCCTTTAGTCCCCCATAGAAAGGTACATAAGATTAAAAAATCCTTAAAAGATATGTAATTTGCAAAAATCAATACTCTATGTGTCGATAATCTTCAAATATATTGCAATCAAGTCTCTTATTTTATGGTCTCTCGAAGACATTTTGACACAGTTATGCTGTTGTATCCTGTAAGATTTAACCTGCTTTTCACTGGGTGACATCATAGGGCCCCTCAGCGAGGCAGTTGACATTTTATAATTGATGAAAGCAATTTAGAGCCTAGAAGCTTAGCAGAAAGCTCAGTGCGCTCATGCCAGCCTCAGGAAAACTGCTGACAACGTCATATAAAGTGCGTCCAAATACAGGATGCCATTGAAACAAACCACAAAGAATCAATTGGTTTCGCTTTTTCACCTCCTTCTGCAAGTTTGCCACTACTGCTAGCTTAATCACACGTGCACTCATTCACTAAAAGTGTCCCAATTGCAACCACGTTGAGATTCTTTTGCTCTGCCTGACTGCCTCGCGAGCTCTTTTTACTACACCTTCCTTGATGGATGAACTCACTTCCTGCTTGAAGAGGTTCTGTCTGTTTTTGAGCGAGCGCAGCTTGATCTGCCTTTCTTCGTGCTCCAGCTCAGCATCGGGGAGCTGGAAATAAGTGATGAGGTCATTAAGGGTTTGGAGCACCTCCTCCACGGGCAGAGCGACCAGTGCCCTGTTCTTAACACCCAGACAATCCAGGTCTCTGGGGGAAGTAGACAGAAAGAAAAAACTCAATCACACATCTAACACTACTTGCCGTTTCTCAAATTCTCTCATTCATTCGAGGAAACAAACCATTGCTAAAGATACGACGACTGGGAAGCTGAACAGACTTGAGGAGAGGCAGTGATGACTAACACGATCTTTAACCCAACGGTTCATTCATGCTGAAATGCTGATTTCCGCTGGCCTGCTAAAAATAGCTCTGGTCCTATGCATGGGAGCGGTGTGTGTGTGGTGGTGGTGATGGTGGGGGCTGACAGATTCCTGCCCCTAAGTCTGACCCAGGAGACAGCAAGCCCTCTGATAACAAATACAGGCAATGGCAGCATCCACGTATGTGCTTCATAGCTCACCACACATAGCAGTGATGCCACTGCATTTCTATTTGGAAACATGTGGCTGGTCCACTGAGTGAACTGTATGGGGCACTGGCACCCCACTCAGACAAAACCCACAGGCCCCTCTGTACTTTGTTACATCACGAGTTATATCACACCTATGAGTCTGTGGGCTTCAAAAATAGCCTTCAGATATAATTTGCCGATGTTGGAATGTCTTTATCATCAGGCGTAATTACGCTAAACCATCATCAACGTGGGTGCTTATGAAACTTGTCCCAGTGACAGGACATTTTGCAGATTACCCTAATAAAGTGGCGAAAGACAAATGTGGGCTGCAATTTGGTTTAATTGGCTAATTTGTGCAATCACATCCCTGTGTGCTGAAGTGAGCAACGGCACCGTTTTGTCACCGTGTAGCGTACCTGATGAATCGCTTAAAGAGAAGCGTGGTGTTGCGGATGATGCGCGCGGCGCGGGACTCCTCGTGCTGACAGCGCTGGAGGGTCAATCCGTCATCCATGTGACCTTCAGAATGCAGGCATGCCTTGAGAGGACGCCACAGGGCGAGAAAAGGGCGAGAAACATTGCCATGAGACGATATAAAGAAATGAGTAAAGAAATGAAGGAGGAGAACGCACTGAGCCACAGTGTCTGGACCACAGGTGCTGACACTACAGGCCACCTGGCTGTGTTCACATGCCGCACGCACACCGCTTCTGCAACAGTAGCCAGGAGACGAGGTCTATATTTAGCAGAGGCAGAGATATGAGATGCAAACTAACAGAGGATCATCTTAACTCAATCAAGTCATTACTCTCGAAATAATTATCCACTCGAAGGAGTGTGATTTATTTATTAATGCTCCTTGTTTTCTGCATGTGCCTTGCATCTAAAGACAGAGCGGTGTGCGCTCGCGTATGTCGCCACTCACTCTTCTCTTGAGGGGACCCAGACGAGCAGATTTGACATCGGGCGCCTGGTACGAGAGCCAGAGACCCGCGGCCACGTGCATGATGAAGCAGATCGAGTCCCCGTATTTAATCTCAGCCACTCCCATTCCCTCGATGTCACGCTTGGGGCTCTGCTCCAGCTTCTCCTGCACAGAAAGGAAGGAAAAGAGACCCAGATTTGCTCTTAAACAAACCACGACCAAATATTAGCTGCATCTACAACTTAAAGCTCTCCGCCCATCACAAGCAAGAAGGCTGTATTTGTTTTGCTTTTAGGATTAGACGTAAATAATGTAAATCAAGTCAGCTGCTTAACATATTCTGCAAGACATGGTTCAGATCCACATTGGAAGGGGGTCAGTAATTGGTTCAGCATCACTATTCATTTCAAGAAACTCTATTGAACAGAGCAGTTAAACGGTCGCTTCAGTTAGAGTCGGCAAGTTCAGCTAAATTAACCTCAATGGTGTCGTTTTCGCTCGTCCAATAATTCTTGCAATTTTCATTGTCCTTGAAAAAGTTGTGATTTTCCAGCCCAAGGATATTTGGCAGTTCATTCGTAAAAGGTTAATAGGTGATCCTTCATAAAGCCTTCTTGCTGGTGTTTAAATGGGAAAGGGTGTGCATGTGTTGGGTGTGTGCATGTGTCCTTACCTTAGAGGCTCTGAAGCAGAAGGCCGTTGCAACGGTGTCAGACCTCTCCCGATCCTGAAGCACCAGCCCCCTGTCCTCCGTTAGAGCCAGGTAGTGACCGGTGGTCAGGTGCCGTAGCCGGAAGGGCTGACCCCAGCGGATGTGGCTCCCGCTCCAGCTGTCAACACCACAACCGCACATTAATATTAAGCATACACAAAAATGTTCAGTTCACAAACCCAGGGAGATTTGCTAATTAGCTGATCTAAAAAAAACTGCTGCCAGCTGTTAATTATCTAGTAGATATGAATTGAATCAGTTGGAAACGGATGAAAACATTTTTGTAATTATGCACCTTTTTTTTCCTTTTTAGGAAACAGGAAAGTCTAAACAAACAGCATCAGAAACATGGCAGAAATCAAAGGGGAACGGCAGCAAAGACAGAGGGAAAGAGAAAGAGGGGATAAGGCAGAGGCCAAAGTGCAGCAGTGAGGAAAGGAGAACAGATAAAATGGAAACAATGAACAAAAGACAGAAAAGAAAGGTGGAAAGGACAGCGATGAACTAAACAAAAACAAAGGAGAGAGTTACAGGAAGAAAGGCAACAGATAAAAGATCACATGAAACACAAAACCACCTGATTCGGAGTGGCTCCAGCCTCCACAAGGACCTCGCCTTGGCACCAGCTTTACCCGTCTCATAGTTGACTATCCTGAGGATGAGAGAGAAGCATGAGTGTGTGTGTGTGGGCAGATGCTTTAACTGTCTAGCTGCCACGGACACTCTCAAGGTCATTCATCCCGGCCCTCTCTCCTCTCATTTGTCACACTGATATTCACAGACAAGATGTTTGACTTTGGCACATAAGCACGCTGTTTTTACTCTGCCGACTGCGGCGTCACATCCTTCAAACACAGACGAGTCCCGATAACTCGCAGCTACGCCGTCTCTCAGTGATATGGGTGACTAGGTCCCAAGATAAAAGAAATCGCTCATCGCCCCCTTGGTGACAGTTTGGAGTGCGTTTGATCTGCCCCAGAAAAATGTGAGACCTCTAAAAAGCACGCTCCATCTGTGAAATATCAAGGAGTAAAAGCCAAAGCTAGAAATTAGAATTAAATCTAATCCTGCCCCCATATTTGCCACGCTCCGGTCTAAAAACAGAAACTGTGTGCACATCGTGTGTATCACAGAGGAAGACGCACACATCTTTTGGCACCTGGCTGAATGTGTACGGGCCCGTGTAGTGCCCGCTGTTTTGACCCACTTCGGGCCCAGTGTGCCATTATTCAGCGCTCTGCCTTATGTGAGTTGGCACCAAGCAGCTATGCTGTAGGTAAAAATAACACCGCAGCCATTTTGGCTCCCGTGGGGAGGGGGCGGGGGTTACACTGGTCACAGAGCGTGGTGGAAACAGAGGGCTGGCAGCTCCATTAGCTTCTCATGTGCTGTGTAACTACTTTAGCTTTGCCCCTGCGATGCTGTGTTAGGCACCTCTGCTGCTCTTCACTCTGGTCTGATCCCGGGATTGTAACAACCTCGTCGTGTCCGTGGAACAGCCGCATCACGTGACCACCTAACAGGTAGCCTATTGGAGAAGGACAAAGAAAAGATTTGGCATCTCAGAGATGAAATCAGGGAAAATAGACAATCCATATCACAGAGGTTTAAGTGTTTAACTGCCATATTTAAGTGTTTTACCCATTTTTAAATACAGTTAGAAACATTAAACTCGTTGCAAATTTAGCCACTGTCACCTGGATTTGACTGAATATGCAGAAAATTCAAATTATATGAGCTGCAAAAATTCATCACAACACTGTCTTTAAGTATAATTGTCTCTCTTTTTTACCTGAAGGTATATCAAATGATTATGTAAAGTCTCTACCTTCTTCTATGTTGCTACCAGAGCAGATGGGATGGACGTTCCACAGAGTCTGCATGAAGGAAGCATCCACCTGGATGTTGCCACTTGAGATGGATAAATGCTGCAGGAAAGAGCACATCCAGCTTTCACTTTTGTGTACAACTACAGAAATATGCAAGTGACAGGACTGTGATCTTATAAGCAATCAGCAATGTATCTACATCTTTACGAGCCACATGTTTGATTTGGCAAAACCTTCACATCAGATGCCCTACCTGACGTGACCTCCCCCATTTATGTGAGCTTGGGATCAACACTAGGAGTGCACTGGCTTGTGACCCTGCAGCTGGGTTTGTAATGCATGATTGTATTGATTCAACTTGAAAAGGATGATGAGTTGTCAGTTGGAGCTTGAAAGTCTATTACCACTGATGCAGAAGAAGACTCCAATTTATCGATGAGCGCTCAGGGATACACAAACAGATTATAATGTAGAGAATATGTGTGTGTGTGTGGTTTCCACAGTGTTTGTGCATCCAAAAAACAAATTTTGTGGCAGCTGTGTCCTGATCATCCTCCTTCCCCAGAGTCTCCTGCAGCCCCTCGGTGCTTGTGTGTCTCCACATACCACAGTGTGTGTGACAGCTGGGACAGACTACCAGATTGGCATTGCTGACTGTAAGGCGATAGTGGTCATCTGTCCGTGCCCCCAACTGCCGTGGGGCTGTAAGCACCGCCTGGCTGCTGTCACAAACTTCACGGATCATGGAGAACATGTTTCCCAGGGTTAGCGTCCGAGTCCGTGTGCTCAGTGGGCAAAGTTAGTCTAAAAGTGAAAGTTACCCGCTGCTGAAAAAGTTAGAATCATAGCTGCAGAGGAGAGGAATGTTTGGGCGTGACCAGAATGATTACGTAGGAGCTTGATTTGAAAAGGCACTGGAAGCAAAGAAATCATAATCCCCCCCAGAGATCAGACGTGATGCAGTGCAGATCAAATTTTGCTTAATGTAATTGTATGCATTTTTGCAGTCATCCAGAGGGGAAAAAAGTTGTTGCTTTTAATGTTAAGCCTCCAGCTGGAGAGAGGTCACGGAGAGAGCTGCAGCATGTGGTAACAGGATTGCTATAATCTGAAATTTTGCCACATCAGGGGAGTAGAATTGATGCGCTCCTACCAAGACCTCTGTGTTATGATCACTCAAATGCACGCACACACACACACACATACACACCGGCAAACACTAGACTTACAAGGTATCGCTCTGAGGACACGCTGACGAGGATGAGGTCATCGCCGATGCGTACTTTCTCTCCCTCTGATCTCTGCTTGGAGGCTGGATGGATTGTCCACCAGCAAGCCTCACCTGCAACAGTAAGCGCACGAATACACAAACACGTTTCTTCTGTATTTTTAATCAAACACCACTGCCCAAATACCCCCTGTAATTACTAATATTGTCGCAGTGGGCTGAAGATGAGGACACACGGGTCACCGCAGCAAGATTTTCAAGTGAAATTGAGGCGACTGCTCATCTAGCGTATCACATGATGCGATTAACAAGTGCAAACAGAAGTGGGTCCAGGTATCAGCCTGCCACACGTGAGGGTGTTAAATATTCTGCACAGATGAAATCATAGCTGACAACAAGAAGCACAAAGTAAGTGTACACTGCTTCACTGCGGGAGGGGGGGTATCAACTGAGATTCTGAAAAGACAAACAGTGAAATTCACTCGCGAACAAACGAAGAGCAAGAAGAAAGATAAAGAGGGGACTTTCAGACAGCGAAGAGGAGGTTAGATAGATTTAAAGAAGCAGACGGAGGCGGAACAAAGACGGAGAGAGACAGGCGTAGCGACAATGACAAAGGGAACGGAGGAAGATAAAAGGGAACTGCACCGGAGCTTTTATTTACCTGTTGAATCCTCCTGCAGGCCGACATCAAAGGAAAGCTTATCTGTCTGTGACCTTGATGTCTTCAAACAGGCCAGGTACTGTGGTCAACACACACATCAAACCACAAAAGACAGAGCTGTCACACGCTTCCTGTATTTGACAAGGGTCATTTTTGATATACCGTATAAATCAACCGTTAGAATCTGTCGTGATTTGTTTAGCGAGGATTGTTTGAGATCTCTCACCATAGAGCTGAAGGAATGCCGCAGGAGGATGGCGTGTCCGTACAGCAGAGTCTTGTGTCCGCCACTCTGCGCTGCCTATAGAGACGATTCACAAACACATGTACACAAGCGCATAGTTACATGTCAGCTCAGTGTTCTGTCAGAACAACCCCAGTGGTCTCCCTCCAACCGCTTCAATCGAACCTCTGACACTGAATGTTGACCTCATCGACGACTAGGGTGACCTCAAGCTGGGGGCACGCATCTCCTGGGGAGGGTTTGCCACCCAGTCTCTCCAATGAACACATGCAATCTGCTCCTGTATCCGTGAGTGAGCAGGATACGGGCTCATCTTTCCAGCACTCCAGCTACAGGAATGTGGGAGGATGCACACTGTAAACTACTGTCAGTCTCTGGATGCAATGTCAGTATTAGCAGACAATGACTCCATCGCCTTGGGGATTGGGTTAAGATGCAGGAGGGGGAACAATTAATATATCTATTGGGAGAAATGCAAAAGGGGGTGTTTTTTTTTTCTCTTTGGCAATCAACTCCCATGTTACTCACCTTCCTTATGAGCCTCTAGGAAGCATTAAGGTAAGAAAGAGTGTTATTATTCAGAAAAGAGCTACTGTTCTCCTGAGCCTGTCTGCTTTAGGTGGTACAAATTTAGGGCCACACTCAGCTGTTACTTATTGAAAGGAATGAAGAAAAAGAAGCTGACAATCTTTTTTTGTGTGTGTTTTACAGTGAAGCCACTGGAAAACAAATATTTTCTACAAGCCAAGCAGGATACTAACTATACAGTATGTTTCCAGCAAAGCTGAGTTTATTCTATGCAATTTTACAAAATTGTAGTTACGTAATATCCAAGCGCTATGTGAATCATGGCTCGTTTTATAAAATCATAGTGTGGTTCTACATCTTCTTTTTCCACGTTTCTATTTCTCTCTCTACCCCCCTCAGTTGGCTACTGGGACAATAGCGGGCCTGTGTTTTGATGCAGTTGTGTTCTGCAGACTCCAGTACTGGCTTTCAGGCTTCTTCTGTGCTGCTGGTAACTGCTCTAAGCTGGCTGAGGGGCTGAGTCTAATGCAGTGAGGCACGCAGCACTGCAATCACCACAGCGGATAAACCCCAAACTCACTTTCCTGTCCCAATGACGGACTGTGCATGATCAGCAAGAAAAGTTATTTTCTAAATGTAGAAACACATTGCAGCAAAAACGTAATATAGCTGTTATAACCCCTGGATAAATGAACCATATGGGAGAAAACTTTTGAATGATGCTGTCTCCAACTATAGACCACAAACCGCCGTATCCAGTGCCAGAAATAATTATTATTTGATCCAATGCTGAAACTGCAATTTTGTTCACTTACATAGAAATGAAAAGTCTCAGATTTTCATGATAGAGAGCAATCCAGAAAAAATACAATACTCAAAAGTTATAAATCAGTTTCCACATCATTTAATATTTGATCTCTTACAATCCAGCCTGCCTCCAACAGACTAGGTGTGTGTCCATGTGGCACACAGATTACAATCAATTAATCAATCAATTACAGATATTCTGTTACCTTCACACTAGAGCTGGGCGATAGAACGATAACGATATATATCGCGATATAACTTTTACTGATAGAGAAATTAAACTATCGCGATAGACCTCGCCGCGCTTGTCCTCTTAAAAAAAAAAAAAAAAAACTGTAATTATAAGCATGCGTTTCCAGCTGACTGTATTGGGAAATACACTAATTTGTTCTTTTAGGGAGTTTAGATGAGAATTTGATATCACTACAGGTGAAGCCAGGAGACTTCAGCTTAAAAAACCTCAAGCATAAGCTCTCCGACGATAAAAGAGCTCAAAAGCTAAGTCAGATATACTTTTGAGCTTGCCCCACAGATCCAGACTAGGTGTTTCCCACTGCTTCTGGTCTTTATGCTTGATCAGGCTTGATGCCAGTTAATAATAGAAAACATCGGCTGTTAATCTGGCAATTTTTTGGACATAGCCAGCAGAGGCAAGAATAACACAGACTAACACAGCCTCATCTCAATTTCACATTACTCTTCCAATCTAAGTATAGCATACAATCATATTCTCAGATTCCTATCAGTAGCAGGAGAAAAGATACAACATCTGCTCCGAATATATAGACAGGCCTTTTGATTGGTTTCTGGCTCATAGCGGGTTATGTCATGTGTTTTGATTGACCCTCTGAACATTTAAAGAATTAGAAACTCCATCAGTTTTTCTTTGAAAAGGAGAAAAACAAAAAACAAAATGCAAATTTTAGTCTGGGTTTATTCAGGTGATGAAATTGCCAAGACATCCTGTTCTGCCCTTTGGGTGAAACAACAATTTGTAATTCATGACTGACAGTAGAACACAGACACAATGACTCTGCTACCTACAAACAAACTGGATGTGAATGAAGGATGTAAATGAGTGGCGTGGAAAAGCGCTGAATGTGAACAATGACAGTGTTCTTTTTCCACTTACCCTCTTTTTGGTGTAAACCGCAAATTATAAAAGAGAAAGCAAGATGACACACAAGCCTCTGTGATGGTAAGTTGTCACACTCATCGAGAAAAAATTGTAATTGTCGTGTTTATTTCTCCACAAACATGGAAAACGGCATGGAGTATGCTTTTTATCTTTTGATCCGAGCGATGAACTTGTAGGAGAACAACATAAGCAACTAAATAACAATCTCATTAACAATCTAACCCTTACCTTGCCATAAGACCAGCCAAGCTCAATCTTATTCATGCCCCAGAGCTCATGGATATTTTCAGCCAGCTTGTCCCGAACCTTCTCCAAATGAGGCGGCATGACAATCTGAAGGAACAGGTAAGCAAATGAGCATTTTCCAAAAAGTTGTGCAAACTATAGAATGCAAAAAACTCAGTAGTTGAAACAAAGTAATGCAATTCTTTTGGAAAAATTAAACAAATACACAAGATGCATCAAATTGAAGATGAGCATTTTTTCAGTTGATTTGCATTCTTTTACATGTCACACTGCATCACAGCCTTTGTGAAAAAGGGGGCGTTTTTCTCATGATCACCATCCTGCACGCCTCCTGTGAGCTTACCTGGCTGGTTTCCACAGGTGTGGGGATGAAGGAGGCCTGCGACATGAACTGGGTGGTGCCCAGCAGATCTCGAACTCCGTCCACATCTCTCTTATACTCTTTCACCGGCTCCACCTTCATCTTCTCTTTTGGCAGCAGAGCCTCATAACACGGTGCGTAGCTTGATGGAGGCAGGAACTTGAAGTCACCGTGCCGTCCGCCCAACAGGAAACGAACCCTAACCAGAGAAAAGTTGCTCACGTGACTTGGCTTATTGCAATGTTTTACGTGCACACTAAAAGAAAATTAAATGCTGTTAATAAAAGAAGCGACTAGTGAAAAGAAAACTATCCATCCATCCATTCGCTTCCGCTTTAAAAGTAGAGGATAAGAAAACTAATCCTCTACTTTTATTCTTAACTCTCTTAAACAGGTTCTACTCCAATGGGGACACGTTTAGTTCTGTGAATGAAAAAAACATTGCAAAACCGTCTCTCGAGGCTGCTCAAAATAGCAGTTCAAGTAGTAGCAGTGACGCAACCAAGCTCATTCTCACTGCGGCCCTCAATTATTAAGCACTGAGGATGTGTGGCTGTCATGTTCTGGCACGTTTAAGTCCGTGGAGACGTTCACCCTGTTCACTGGGCCAATTCCAAGCTTCCACACACTCACGCTCTGCTGTGACTGGTCAACACAGTGTTAGCTGTACAATCACCCGACCAATGAAAGAGTCAGATCAGACCTTGACAACACTTCAACTACTAAAAAGGACAAATCTGTTCCAAACAGCCTGTTTTATGCAATTGTAGACAATTTGGATTCTTTCACTCGGTCTGTAATAATGAAGCAGCTCAAGGGTCTTTGCATGTTGAACCTCTTTGTTATTATAAGCTGTGAGGTTGGCATCAGGACTCGTCCCCTGTCTGGTTTGTTCTTGTCACACCTTTACCAGGTGTGCTGGGCTGATGTAGAACTTGCGATCCTAAGTCTCTCCACTCTTTTCAGTCACCAATCTCATGCACTATTGAATCATGTGTCTCTCTGGAATGTCTGGAACTCCAGAGTTGTGAAAACCTTTCAGCCACATGTGCCCGCTTCAGCTTGGAACCTCAGAAACACATTTTTTGCCTTCCAAATCACTGCGGGTACTTTACTGTTCACTTATATTGCCATATTTGGAATACTGTGTGGAAATCTGGGGAAATACATACAAAACTTCACTTCAACCACTATGTAAAATTCAGAAAAAAGCAATCAGGATGATTACTAAAGCAGGATTTAGAGACCATACTAACATCATGTTCTTGAAATTAAAAATTCTGAAGTTTATGGATCTTATAAAATATAAAACTGCAAAAATTATGTACAAAGCCAGATACAATATGTTACCAGGAAATGTACAGAGGATGTTTTTTGACAGAGAAGGGGACTATGAATTGAGGGGGAAATTAAATCTGAAGACTCTTAAAGCACGGACAAAGGTTAAAACCTTTTGTGTTACTATTTATGGGGTAAAACTGTGGAATAGTTTTACTGTGGACCTACAGCAATGCTCAAGCATTAGTCAGTTCATAAAGATGTTTCGAAAACTGCTTTTGGAAGAATATGAAACTGATAAAGTTGATCACCCATTGTGTGTATAAATATACTAAATTGTATCTAAATTATATCTATCACTGTAGCTATGTTTATACATGTTCTCCTTGTTTATTGTGTGGGGTAAGTGATGATGGGAATTAGGTGAATAGTGGGATTCAATAGAATGTTGAGCATGGGGTAGGGATTAATAAGTATGTTATACTTCTTCCTACTCCATTTCAGACCTAATAATTGTCATTTCATGTCATTTAGACTTGTTTTATTTTATTTATTTTTTGTTTTATCTGAGCACATACGTGTGTGTGTGTATTTACATATATATTCGTATTTGTAAATGCAAGTATGTGTAGTTGTGTATATATTGGGGTTTTTTCTGTATATGTCTGAAATAAAGATACAATACAAATACAAACCTGTAAAGGAGAAGACTCACCTGCTCACCTGCCTGCCCACTCTCCACCGATCCACCCTACTGTGGAAACTAGCCTCCTCCCCAAAGCACCTCCCACTCAAATAAGACCATTTCCAGGTTCCACAATCCAGTCCACAAATCACGACCTCCGGTTGAACTATTTCTAACTCTGTTCCTCATCCTCCCCAGACCTCACATGCGCACGCTCAGTCCCACAGCTTCCACCACATTAGATATGCTTATTCGCCAACTTGAAAATAAACACTTGATACACACAAACTCCCATCTGAGCACATTTTCTGAGTCCATGCCAATCCTTAGTATGGCTCAGTGTTTCTGAGTGTAGAATGCATTGACCGAAGATGAAACGCTTGTAAAATAAGAAACATATTTCATGATCTAAAAGGTTATTTAGGCTTCCAATCAACAGCAAAGACTAACAAAAAAACCATGAAACTGACCAGTGACCTCTTGAAGGGGCCAATGAATCATTAGTTGTCTAATCACTTATCTTTGTTCTTTGGTCAACTCTGTTTTAAACATGTTACATAAATACATTTAACCTTTAACCTTTAACCTAACAGAAACAACCAATCCTCCACTTGCTCCAATTTTGCACCAGGTGCAAAGTAACAGCAAGCTGTCACAAAAAACACTAAAATCCCTTAAAAAGGAACCGTTTAATATTTCAAGCAATTCTCATGCAGCATGTTGGCACATGAGCGTGTGTGTGAGTGGTAATAAACTCCTTATCTAACTTCTGTTAACCAGCGTAACAACTGGGTCAGTAACACACATTGTTCAATTAATCTTTTCTGCACGTCAGATAATACAGACAGTGTGAGAACAATGACGCTATTAAAAGTGACATCATTTGTGGAAAAAAATGCATGAAAATGATTTGAGAGACGGGGAAATCAAGC